CCTAGCGCTTCTGCTCCGGGCCGATGTGCGAGGAGTTGCACACAAACTTATAGGCCACATGCTGTTTGTTGTTTTATGAGTTCATAATGATAACTCGAGATGAGGACAGAACGTGGTGTTAACGGGAGAACATCAGTTCCTTTCTAAATTGGAGGGGGGAACTGGGGAACATCGAGCTGACCCCCAAATGGGCACTGGAAGATAAACACTGATGAAACGTTAATTGGACAAATATTTGTTCGTTTGCCAGTGTGAAAGTGAAACACACTGTAGTCTATGTGCTATATTAAAATAACAATAGTATTGCCTGGTGCAGACCAAATAATCGACCTAACAGTGTGAAAGCACTAAACCAGGTCTAAACCAGGTGTAAAACCAGGACTAAAGCAGGAGTTAACAGGACTAAACCATGCCACGCATCACTAAACCATGTACGCTTCCATACGCCACCAGTCTGTGAAAATACAGTTTTGTTATTGTTTTGTTTTTATTTTAAGTTAAAAAAAAAAAAAAAAGAATCCTACGTGTATGACAGATTAAGAAAATAAAATTGGACAACGGCTTAAGTACATTAAACTGGGCGTATGTTGTAGCGATGAAAACAGGGGTTGATCAGCGAAATGACGTCTCGAAAATAAGCGATTCAAGATTACTCAAAACATGCACAAATCACTCCAAATACACAGTACAAGAGGGTAAATGAGAAGGAAACAACTATATCATCAAGTCTTTTTTGCTGACTAGTAAGTTCAGGACAAGATAACAATTATTACCATGTTTTGGATTTTCTTTTAACCAATTTATAAGATAAACACAATAAACACAGATGCATTTTCTGTTTCACTAAAAAAGTCAAAGTTGTAAAAAAGTTGTACGATAAAGGCCGAATATAACACACTTTCCACACACACTCGTTCTCAAATTGGTAAAAGGAATAAGAGTTTAATCTTAGCAGTACAATTTTTCACTAAATTTGTAATATTATATACTCAAATTTAAATGAAAGACGCTGTGTGTCACTTTTCTAGTAGAGGGTTTGTCTGATGCTTTCCTTAATGGAGATGTTATTACTTTATCTGGAATGTTTCACAGTTTATCTCCATGGAGACCAAATCAGATCAAGTTAGAGGTCAGATCTATGGAGAGGCGACCCCGCTCACAGTCAGAATGTCTGTTTTTCTACGTATTTTTGAGCTAAAACCACCTGTAACTGAATAAATTTAACTAAGAGCTGTTTAATGTCACACTGTGGAACCACCTCTATAGAAACAAGCAGGTGACGCACCCCCAACCAAAAAGTGACACACCTCTACACTTTTAAATCAAAATAAAAAATGACGTGACAATGTCCTGGCGTAGAGTGTATCTGTTCTCTTTTGGCTGCCCGTGCAAATAAACAGTGAGTCATAAATGGAATAAAAGGGCTGGTGTTAAACATGTGGTCACCAGTGCACACACCTCTGTCTCTGTCTCTGTCTCTGTCTCTGTCTCTGCTTATGTCTTATGTAATACACGATACAATACAAACAACATAGACAGACCGTGAACCAGAGCCCAGACCAACCACTATACACATAATAAAACCGAGCACAAATGAGGGCTGGAAGGAACAAAAACAACGTGTTAAATAGACTTCTTGATACCGAAAATTAAAACTTAGGCATTTGTTTTTGGTTTGTTATTTGTTAATCTGTGAAAAGCGTTATACAAATAAATTTACTATTATTCTAGCCCATGGAAAAGGCATTGTATAGGAAGTACACTGCCCTACAAAAGCAGAATGCTGTAAACATCATGTTTCAAAAATGAATTCATGTCATTTTGTTTGTATTTGAGACCTCCTTTATCATGTGAATAAATATTGTGAAAAATATTGATCTTAAAATTGACCTTTGTTCCTTTACTCTGCCTTTGTATCATGAGCCAAAAATAAGTTTTTGTGCAAAGACAAAAGGCAGAAACAGTGTAAGTTCATTAATATATTTGCGGCCTTGGCACAGGGTCTACTCTGAACACATTCAATAAATAAATCTTTGTATGCAATTATACTTCAATGATCTTTAAAGTGAAAGTATTTGGTGTATTTATTCATACTGTACACCAAGGGTCTCCAACCTTTTTCCTCTGGTGAGCCTTTATGAAACAAAAATGCCAAAGAGCTATTTATTTTAACAGTTGCAAGAAATGTAGTAAATATCAGAGCCAAAGCCTTAGATTAGGGACAGTTAGATAGATAACAAACATTGTTCATTTATTAGTGCACAAAACTGGGCAATAATATGATAGATTTACAATGGTAATTAATCCAATTTTACTTATTCAGAACAATACGAATAATTCAGAATCTCTTGGTGAGCTACTTGGAAGAGGGTGGAGAGCTCCTGGTAGCTCCCGAGCTACAGGTTGGAGACTCCTGCTGTACACACTATACTGCAAAGTCAAACTGTTTCACTGCGCAAGTGTCGCCGTATGATCCTTATCAACACTAAACAGGAAATCCAAAGCTCTTTTACATCATTTCAAACAAACTCCATGATGATTTGAGCTTGGTAAGGTGTTTTTCTTATAATGGATGGAAGTCTGGGCAAAATCAGACAAATAATGATCATGTCAGTTTCTGCCTTTGACCTTTGCACGAAAACGTATTTTTGGCTCATGATACAATTTTGAGCTCAATGTTTTTTACATACAAATATTTCTTCATTATAGCAACTAATTGTCAAATTTTAGGAACCCTAGTATTACACTTTTGTCTGGACAAAACAGAAACATTGAATTATTTTTACTCAGTTTCACACTCTGGAGAGTTAAGTTCTTTTGTCTTTGTAGGGCAGCATAGTAGTAGTTATGTATGTTTTTGTATGTTTTGAAGACCTTTAATTGCTTCCAGTTAGTTAAAGTAAATTGAGACACTATCAATAATGTAAAATAAGATATAAAAATATGCAATTTCTTTTGTTATAAATTAAAAACGGTCTTTATTATGCTATTTTCTGATATATGTTATGTTGTTTATTTTTCACAAACAGACCTACAGTTGTGGTTTGTTTCATTCACACATGTTTAACACACAAATCGTGCAGATTAAGGCTGAGTTTTTTTTTCCTCAAACAGAACACACTCTGTTCCACCTTGTGATGTCACGTGAATACAGGAAGTGCTCCATTGTATTTATAAACTTGATACACCTTCACTAGAATCATGTGAATAATTTCAAACCTGGAATTGCCACTGAACAAGAGGTGAAAAGTAGCTGTTAACTTTCGTTCTTTTGAATTTCAATTAAGAAAGAAAAACGATCAAATGTTATTTCTTTATTCCATTTCAGTGATTTCAGATTTCAACCTCTATTTCCAATATTTAATTTAAATTTAATTTCAAATAACAGCAGTCTCAGTGCCTATTTTAATTTTGATATTTTATTTTGGTTTAATTGCCCTGGAAGTTCTGCTGCTCAGCGCTGCCTGAGAATGCACAGTTTCAGTTCAGTTTTTCTTATAGATCCAACCAGGGATCTATAATAAAAACTGAACAAAGGAGACTTCCTGTTTCTCAGCATGGAGTTCAACAATTACTTTCTAAGAGGCAAAAGTAAATGCGAAGAAGAGCTAGCAGCAGAGAGAATAAAATATCAAAACTGAAATAGGCATGATGACGAAGGACAATTAGCTTAATTTTAATAATTTAGTTAATTTTAAATATGGATGTTTCATATATAAAGTTCTGTATGGACTTGCCCCTCCTCCGTTACAGGATTTTATTAAAGTAAAGACCGTCAGTGGGATGGGAACTAGGTGGGAACTGTGAGCTCCACAGATGCACCACATCTGGACAAAGTGTGTCTGAGTCAGAGCCACTAAGTTTTGGAACAATCTCCCATTATCAATAAAAGAGACTCCAACACTGGACACTTTCAAATCCCACTTGAAACAGTGGCTAAAGGAAAACCAGACTTGTGGACACTGTTAGTTTAAAACTGTCGCTTGTTTTTGTTTTTTTATGTTAAAATGAGAAGTCTATATGTTCTTAGTTAATTTAGGACAGGAGAGAAAAGGGGTGGAGTTAAATAAGTATTTACTTCCTCCCACTCCTTTTTCGGACACAAGTAAAATCTGCGTGACATTTATTTTCGCTTATTATTACAGAAAAGAAATATTTACTTTACGTGTTAAATCTATGTATTTATGTTCTCTATGCATGTTCTATGTATTACTGTCCGAATAAAAGTTCATTCATTCATTCAAAATTGTGGTGTCACCTGCCGAGGGACTACAGATGGAAATGAATATTTTTGCTATAATCTGTCATATTTATACTGCAGTGTTGTAGATGTTCATTAATATGCACTGTCCCTATTCAATAAATAAATAAAATAAGATAAAATAAGTTTTTTGATTGGTGTTATTTGAAATAAACTTTAAATTAAATATTGGAAATAGAGATCGAAATCTGTTTTTTGTTTGACACTAAAACATAATAATGAAATAACAAACTGTTTTCCCATTTTATTATTTTTTGTCCTTAATTGAAATTTAAAAGAATGAATGGTACATGGACCAACTTGGAAACTACCACTTCATGACATCATATGGTGGAACAGAGCATTTTGAGCTTTGGAGATGTAGACAGACTAATAATAAAAGGTTACTCAAACATGAATGAAACAAAACACATTTGGGGATATGTTTTTGAGGAGGTAACAAAATTATAAATTAAAGCTCAGAAGAATTTTGTGCAGCATAGGAGCTTTAAATGTCAAAATTTGTCAAAACAAGGTTTAAGATCCACTTTATCAATGCATTTTTGGTATCTGCGCACAACAAAAAAGTACTGCATACAAAAAAGTTAAAAGTACATGAAATACTTATGTACAGATCATACGTTCTATTGTTACTTCCAGCCCTTTTAACGGAGCCACTACCAGCGGGACACAGACATAGAAGCGACATAAAATCAGATGAGAATGGATATGAAAATTTGAGTAAAAAAAAAAAAACAACCTTTGGCAAATCCATTTCATCATCAAACGCCCTGAGCTGCAACAGAAAGAGTGGGAGGGCATCAGGGGTTAGTGCGGTGCTCGGGCCTGTGGAAGCGCTGGTTAAATAAATCTCACAGTGAAATCAAACACAACAGTGGAGAATATAAGCAGCGGTGACAATGAACGAGCCAGGAAAAGATGCACATTGTAAACATAAAACGTGGACTTCGGGGTTAAAGTTTAAATGGTTTTGGGTGTCTTTTTTTTCTTTATGTTTACTGCTTTTTACATTTTAGATACAAACGGAAGAGATCAAATTATGGAGCAAGATATGAGGAATTATGTAGCGAAGAAGAAAAGTGAACTCGGCTAATCTTGCTTGTAGAAATGTAGAAAGTAGTAAAAATAAAGAAAAAATAGTCAATGAGATGCTGTATCCCAACTTCTGAAATGAATTAATGCATTTGTAACAGTGTAATACCTTAGTGCATTAGCATTTCTAGTTGTGAAGACACTGGTAACATTTAAAAGCATACAAACAAGTGCTGTGCGTTGTTGTGTAGGTCTGCTGCATGTATCTATTGTTATGATTAGACCACGAGATATAAAACTGAAACGAGAATGTTTAAAGTATTCCGTCTGTGCTACCTTTTCTCCATATCCTCGGTCTTTGGTCATCATCTCTCTGAGCGTCTGCAGGACTTTGATGCACAGTCGCTCCTCGTTTTCCTCCAGCAGCTGTTTGGTGTGTTTGATCAGTCTGAGAACAATGAAAGAACAGAGTTTCAACTTCAGCTCCTCACTTACAGGACACATGGTAATCGATTTTCTGATCTGTGTTAGTTTTTGTCATCACAAACAGACCTGGAGTTGTGTTTTGTTTCATTCACATGTTTAAAGAGCCATGGTCAGGGTTCCCACTCTTTTTCACTGACAACATTTCAAAACTTTCCCATGGGACAGCGCACAATTTTTACATTAACCTTTTTTACAGGAGAGATGCATTGTACCAGGTTGTAGCATCAGTGCTAATTTCCACCTGTAGTCCCTGCGGCAGATTCATTGATTGACTATCAACTGTTCTTCGAGACCGATGTAGCATGTTTTTGGGTTGATGGGGGAAACCAGAGTGCCCAAAGGAAACCCATCCAGACACGGGGAGAAACATGCAATCTCCACACAGAAAGGCCCAGGTGACCCGAGGATCAAACCTGGAACCTTCTTGCTATGAGGCATGAGTGCTAGCCACTCAGCCACCGTGCCACCGTGACTTTTCAGACCTAAAGTGAATTTTCCATGACTTTACAGCACCTATATGTGTAGAATTGATCAGACTTTTAGGCTAAATATGAAATGTTAACTCTTTCCACTCACCTTATGGTTTGGTATTATAATTTTTAACATTCAAAATCCTGTCAGTGCATTTATTATCTTTTAAACAAAAGGCACAGACTTTCAGAAATAATCATAACCGCCTCATGAGAATTTAATAGAACGCTGGAGTTGTGTGAAAGAGATACTAAAATTCCATGACTTTTCCAAGCCTTGAAAATGACATTTTCACTTTCAATTTGTGGGGGGACTCTGGAGCAATGATTGACAGCCACAACAATCCAACATGGCGTGGACAGACTTTGACACAGAGCGGACATTTGTGCTCGAATCATGGCGTTTCCCTTTTCTCCAGACACGGTGGGACATCGTAGTGTCCAGCAGTGCCAGGTGGGGGCGGGGCTGAGAGGAGCTCCTCACGTCCCGCCTGTAAATGCCAGTGGCTGCATCTGACTCACTGTCGGCTGTTAGTCCAAATCAAAAATTTAAATGTCCTGGCCAAAGTTGATACTAAAGAGGCCAATACAGACACGACTTTGACCCAAAAGTCCCATTTTTAACAAATATGCACTAAAATGCCAAAATAAGGCCAGGGATATAGATACACTTCTATTTTAGATCCATTTACACAGAGAATCAGGAGAAAAAATATGATTTTGGTGTTTAGTGGCCCTTTAGCACTCAAACCCTGAATTTTTCTCTCAGACAGAAAACACTTTGTTCCACCTTGTGATGTCATGTGGTAATACAGGAAGTGCTTTTTTAAACTCTATACACCTTCACTAGACTCTTTTGGATGATTTCAGCTCTGGAATAGAGTTCAATCTCTACTGAACTAAAGGTAAAAGGAGCTGTTCCCTTGAAAACTACTGCTTCCAAACATAAGGTGGAACAGAACATTCTGAGCTTTGGGGATGTAGACTAATAATAATAAAGAGTTATTCAAACATGCATGAATGAAACAAATGAAACAAAACACAACTCCGTGTATGTTTTTGAGGGGGTAACTAGATTATTACATGGCTTAAAGCTCACAAGAGGCAGTTTTGTGTAATATATGACTTTTAATAAATTAAAACCTAAATTAGGTCACTTGATAATGTTTAGAATTCATTCAGAGTGAAACATATCAGTTTGGAGTGAATCAGGTTAGTGAATGTAAGATCGTACTTGCAGATGAAGCCTCCGCTCTCACACTTCTTCCTGGAGTCGGTGTTTTCGGGAAAGAGGAGCTCGGGTCGATGGAGGACGTCCACCAGAACAGAGAGCTCCGCCTGGACCAGAGGACGCAGACGGTCCTCTAAGGCCGAGACTATGTCCTGGTACAGAGAGAGGGGGGACAAGGCAGATATGGTTACTTTGTACATTGGGTATTAATATGGATTGGATTGTTATTTTGATATACTGGCAACAAAAATGTGATGAAAGGATTTGAGTTTGGATCTGTGAATAAAAGTTTGGATTGTTTTGACATTATTCAAAACATCACAACTTTTGCTGTGAACTTATAAAAAACCCAATGAATGTTAAAACTTAAAACATTTGCATTATCACCAAAACAATGTCTATAAATGTTAAATTAGTTTCAGTTTTGTTTTGATTTTCTGTATGCCCACACCCATTGCTCTCCATGTTAAGTCACTGGCCCTTTGTATCCTGCTTTGTTTTGTATGCTGCTTTTGCATATTTGTCAAAAATAGTCATGTGGGAGCATAATTAATGTAGTCTTGTGGGCTGAGCATTGGTACAGGACAGTACTGTACAGCTGACTTTACGGAGGGTTCAAATAGATGACACCTAAAACCTCTTCAGACATGTTTTGATGAGGGAACGTTGTAACATGCTCAGCTCTTTTAATGTGTCATCTAACATTTTAAATCACTTTTATCATTCCTTCATCGAATGTTTGTTTCTTTTATTTGTTGGTTTTATGGATTATGTGTGAAAGATAAGAACAATCTGAACCAGATAGTAAAAGTGTGTGGCAAAATGAGTGGTGTTCAGTTGGACTGAAGACATCGGGACCTCCAAAAGTCTAAGGCCATACTGAGCCAGCCTAACCACATACTGCACTCACAGTTTGAACAAATGCCCTCTAGGAGGCGCTATGTCACCCCACAGCAAAAGACCAACCACTACGATAAACCTTTAATTCCTTCTGCCAAAAAGCTTTTAACTGGAAACTAAATTTACTATTGTGTCCCCGATGCACTGAGGTTTGAATGTACGGCATGTGTGGTTTGTGTTTGATTTTTATTTTTATGTATTTAGGGATTTTGCACGACCAGAGATGCGCAAACTGAATTGCCCTTTGGGATTAATAAACTTCTTGATTGACTAATTGAACCTGATAATAGGAGATTGTACCATTTGTCTCTCCCTGTGTCTGGTGGGACTGGGTAATGCACACTGTAAACATGTTTGTGATAAGGGCTCTAAATCAAGGTGACCAAACTTTTTTCATCAAGGGCCACATATCTAAACACAGATGAAGCAGAGGGCTGATTGAGGGCAGTAGACTGCTGCTCAATACAGTGAATAACTGAAATATGTGCATGTTTAACACGTTAGAATGACCTTTTATTCATGCTAAGATCCTTAAAACCACACACTAAATATTAAATATTAGCTTTATCAAGGTAGATTTTCAAAAAACTTTATAATTGATGCAAGGTAATTTGGGCCAATCAACATAATTTGGGCCAATTCACCTGGAAGCCTGAGGGCCAAGAAAAATTTGCCTGCTCTAAATGAAGTGTAATAGTACAGCTTGTACCTGTAGCCTCTCGATGATGTTCCTGTAGTCTCATGAATGTAAGAGTATATATCATGTACTTGTAGCCTCTCGATGATGTTTCTGTAGTCTCGTGAGTGTAAAAGTATATAAGTATATATCCTGTACCTGTAGCCTCTCGATGATGTTCCTGTAGTCTCATGAATGTAAGAGTATATATCATGTACTTGTAGCCTCTCGATGATGTTTCTGTAGTCTCGTGAGTGTAAAAGTATATAAGTATATATCTGTACTGTAGCTCTCGATGATGTTCCTGTAGTCTCAAAGTATATATGTTCTGTAGTCTCGTGAGTGTAAAAGTATATAAGTATATATCCTGTACCTGTAGCCTCTCGATGATGTTCCTGTAGTCTCGGGAGGCGGTCACCACAGAGTCTCTCCTCGCGGCGTTTCGTGCGGACAGTCTCCAGCTCATGGCCGTCTTCTGAACGATGTTGTTCGATTTCACAAACAGGTTGTTCACTTGGTTGTCCAGGTCCACGGGGATCGCTATGGCCCTGCCTTTGGCTAAAGCACAAATATAGATATTGGATGGACAGATGATAGATGGATGGATGAATAAATTGATGAATAGACAGTGATCAAAGACACTGAATCTGACCATACTAATTGTTCATTAGTATGTTCTAAGTCCATTGCTCTTGAGATTGTGTTGCCACATGTGACAGGTCCTACATAATATTGATACTTTGCAGCTGATGCCACCAACTTTTCCTGGGGGTGAAGCTAACTGGAAGCACTGCTCTGTCTGACTCTCTGTTACTGTTAAACAAGTCCTCTCAAATGATATTACAGTCACAAATGAGCTAGCATTAATCAAACAGTTTTCACTCTGACCTTTTTTGTTGAAAATCAATCACCTAAACAGGACCAAAGACATTTGTATTAATCACAGGCTCCTTAAAATGTGTAGCTTAAATCTATTTTCTATTTTTCTTGAACTTTCAGACAATGTGTCCCCATGGTAACTGCCAGAGGTGGGACCAAGTCACTGTTTTGCAAATCTCAAGTAAGTCTCAAGTCTTTGACCTCAAGTCCAAGTCAAGTCCCAAGTCAAATACAGGCAAGTCCAAGTCGAGTCTAGATTCACTAGCCCATAAGTCCAAGTCAAGTTCAAGTCATCTGCTTTGAGCTTCAAGTCATTTCAAGTCTTTAAACCAAAGTACCAAATAAAGCTTAGATTTTTGCAATTTATATGAATTTTAAGTTGAATTGTACTTAAAAAGTCATGGTATATTTATAATCAGTATTTAAATAAGAGCTGTAGAAATGCTAATTTTTCCTTTTAAAATGTCTTGACAAGATCTTAGTGTGAATCAGAAAAGAAAGAATGGTCTATGTTGTTCCCTCTTACTGTATTGTACTCTATATTTCTGTAACGCTTTTGATGATACCACATCACAATACTTCAGTTACATCCAAAGTAACAAAGTGGGAGGATCATGTTCCAGTTTGTTCCTAAAATTAAGCATCGCATGTATCAACTGCAAAGAGAAAGAAAAACACATGACTTCTCCTAAAAAAATATATATATATAAAAAATTAGGAGCTATTATTTCAGGAGATATTAGGAGATATACATGTTTTTTTAGGAGAAGAATCGAGTCTTCTCAAGTCACAGGGCTTAAGTCCGAGTCAAGTCTCAAGGCCAAATCAAGTCCCAAGTCTTAATCCATTTTCTCAAGTCTCAAGTCCTAAAAATAGTGACTAAATTCTGACTCCAGTCCAAGTCACGACATGCAACTGCTGAACACCACAGAGTGACAAAGTGACAAAGTGACAGAGGGACAGAGTGTAAGTTCATTCCAAGCGTTCTTACCGACATCAGAGAGCACTTTAATACAGTTTTCCACGAAGCCCTTCTGGACCGGCACCATCCAAGTGCAGTGATAAACCCGGAACACTCCCTGAAGCAGCTGCACAAACACAGGCTGCCGGGTCTGAGGAGGAGGGACACAACCACACAATATGATCAATACATTTATGGACAAAACTTACACACAGAAATACAAAATCTACCTTTTCTACTGCTAAACTGTGTATGTGCTGTTCCTGGTACTTTTGGGTCATTTTAGTGAAAGTTAGGAACATCTGCAGCTTTCTGGTCAAAAACACCAAAATCCAGTACTCAGTAATTTCAAGTAGTTGGTGACATAACAAAAGACTGCTCTGATTACAGACCCTGCTCCTCCTCCCCTCTTCAGATACTCTGAAATGTGGTTGTGGGAGGAGTTGAGGTGTTTAGTCCCACTTTAATAGCAGTGTATTGCACCAGAAAAACGTATAGACCATTTTATTTCAGAGACACAATAAAGCCTAAAGCAGGATAATCCCAGGAGACACTTAAATGAACCAAACTGTAAATAAAACATAGGTCGAAAAATAAACATCATAGAAGCCTAGTTTCTCAAAGTGCATAAGACAAGGTTTTCATGTTTTTATAATTATTATTAAAAGCAGCAGTTTGTGAAGAAAAGTTGAACATTTACGGTGAAAAGGAGCCAATTTCTCAAAAGGAAATCCATCTATCTATGTCGGCAATAAACAAAAATGCAAGAACTGTCAGTTGAACATTAATCTCAAGGTAACAGCTATGGAATAATATACCTTAAATTCCGGACTATTGAGCGCACCTGAATATAAGCTACAACAGCTGGAGCTCTACGGCGGTCCTTTTGCCTGCGGTCACCCGACGGTCTATGCGGGGGCACCTTAGTCCTGGGTTAGTCCTGGGTTAGTCCTGGGTTATCATGGGCACAGGCAGGTAACAGGTGGAATGTTAACGAGTTCGGGCGGATGCAGGTCTCTAAAAATGGACCCGTGCAGGACTCTGGGTCGGGTCACGTTGGTCACGTGCGGTAATCGCCGTGGCCCAACATGCACTGCAGTGGACCTCTTAGTACTGCAGTGATTCATTTTTGTGGTTATTGCGACAGCCCTAGACATATCCCCCTCACTAATGTTCATCATTTAGCATCTTAACTTATTTTATCACATGGCGATAAACTGAGTGCACTGACAATATCACTAGCTCATGTAGTAACTTCATGCTAACTGTAGATCCATGCATAAACTGCACAGACCGTGGTGTTTTCTGTTGTGTCTGTGTATCTGCTGTGTTAACAAACCATAGACCGTATATATATGAATGGACAATGTGCCAAACAAAGAATCCGTCCATATATTCGCCACATCGTTTTATTAGTTGCAGGGTTCAAAGTGTGAGAAAAAAGTAGCGGCTTATAGTCCGGAATTTACCGTATATAAACAATAGAATTCTTAAATCTTAATAATTGTATGTAATTATATAATTATGTAACATTCATTTTAGTGAAGTGAGTAGTCGAACCAGTCATATGCACTTTAATCTCTCTGAGTCAGGAGAAATGTGAATTATACACATGGGACAGCCACCAAACCCAGTTGAATATACATAACAAGAGAAGTTCCAGTGTCAGCCCTGTCTACATGGTACATAGTTAGATTTCATTGGAGCACATCTCCCTGAATCACCAGTGAAGAACCCCAAAGCAAAGCCGTGGGTGCTGCTCTGACCACCAGTATGACCATGTTTAACCTCTGATTACCTGAAACTGTTTTACTGCCAGATATACCTGTAGAGAGCAAATGTATGTTTAAATAAAAGTGTAAAAATGTAGCTTAGGCTTTTAAAACAAGTGTGAGTGAGAAAACGTCATAGCACAAAGCAAGCTCAAAACCTCATGTTAAAGTTAAAGGTACTGTGTGTTTTTTTCTGGTGGAGCCTCTGCCGTCTGCTTGTCTCCAGGGAGATTTGTTATTCATCGCTTTGCCTGGAATGTTCTACTGTATGGCAAACATGTCCATCTCCTCAGAGACAAGCAGGTGGCAAAGTAAGCATGCATGTTTTTTAAGGTATCTTTTCGTAATAAAACATTTCCATTTCAAATAAATGCATAGAGTATATTGAGTAGTGCTGAGCTGTTGAATTTTAAATAAAACATCATAAAGAAAAAGGTCCACTGTTAGAACAAGAGCATTTGATTTAAGTACATAATGGAGGACAATTAACTTCACCATCAGGACCACTGCAGGGCACTGAAGGAGTCTGGGCTAAGACTTTCGGTTGTCTACAGTTCCTGGAAACGTGGGCTCTCTCTATATTACAATTAAATTAATTAAGAAGTCTCAGAGGGAACTTTAACCCATTCTGAGAAGAGTGAAAAGAGCTGATTAAAGGGAATAAGGAGGTTGTGTAAAACAATACAATGTCCTAATTGGAATTGTGTAACTTCTCTGATGGATGGTACGAGACCTCGTTTACACGCTTTGCTTTCAGTGTCCTGCAGAAAGGCGTTAAACTGATCCATCTCCAAGACAACAAGTAGGCAGTGCCATCAGATCTGTGGAGAGATGACCCCACTCACAGAATAATGCTGCAGTCAGACCGCGGCGCCAAAATCACAAAATGAAGATGCTCGAAACTTTGACGTGAGGCCAATTTTGCAAAAAGTTCAGAAACTACAAGTAAGTCTATGGAGGACATACCATATTTTCCGGGCTATTAGGCATGCTCTTAAGCTCCTATACACGAATCCACTCGGGTGTCCCAGCACGACTTCAGTAAACTACAGAGCTGCACCACCCACAGCGCACGCAAACACACACGGAGCAGACAGCGACCGCACAGCGAAAAACACCCACACACACACTCATCACTCCACGCCGACGAGGAACGGAACAGAGGAACTAAACGAAAAAGCAAGTGCAATGTGCCACTTCTAGACACAACTGAACAACTGAGTCACTGCGAACACGCTGACAATCCAGTGGTCCCAGACAGCACCTTCCCTACACACTACAACTGAACAAAGCCCAGAGTCACCGTGAACGCACCAAACAAAGTCCCACTCACCCATCCAACTGTTGTGTTTCCTTTAAAGTCCAGTGCCGTTTATTTGTGAAAAAAGTTCGAAAATAGACCATTCAATGACAGTGCGCCTTATAATCCAGAGCGCCTAATAGCCCGGAAAATACGGTATTTTATTTTATGTCGAAGCATTAAATTTCCTTTAATAGATAAAAAAAACTGACAGCACAGGCCCATCATCAGCCCAGTCTACGCATCAGGTCTGTGGAGAAGCAAGTCCGCTCATTCACAGTAAGTATGTGCCTTTTTTAAGTTATTTCAAGCAATTGGCGAGTTTCAGCTGACGTCATTGTTATTAAAGACCGCGTTGCATCCTGGGAAGTATTTTGGTCGGAGGCAAGAAACACGATAGCGGTCAAACACAGTGCGTAACCTCGTGTATTTATCCTCGATAATGGTAAATTCCTGCTGCATTATCGGATGCATAAATAGAAGCACGAGTGAGTGAAAAGAACCGCTAACGGTGAATTAAATGGCTTTCAAACATTTGCAGAGCAAACGTAGAAGATCCTAGCAAACCGTGGACTCCAACAAGTTCAACAACGCATCGAGACTCTTGTAGGCTTTCATCTTTTCTGCTGTGAATGGCCCAGGAGTTTCCACCAAGTCATTGTGGATATTGCCGAAGTGAACATTTGGCCAGGTAGTTGGCGATTCAGACCAGAAATTTGGTTTGGTTTGTAGGGGTTGAAAAGGGTGATTTGGCGTCCATCGATGCTTATGACCAATTTCTGGTCAAATCGTCTTGGGTCCTCTGCCGTTAGAGTGGATAAATAACCAGGATCAATACCCTTTACGTGCTTTCTCGCTCCGTCAGTCATGTTGAATTAGTGTTTATTGCCGCTGACCAAAATAATTCCCAGCATGCAACGCGCGCTTTTGTCAACAATGAAACTCGCCTATAAATGTAAATGTATGTGTGAAATAGTTGCTTTAATACATATACTTTTTCTTTAGGCCAAATTGTTACACAGCGGAGCTTTAGTTTGAACTCTTTTACTTGTTTAGCTGCATTTGCGTGTGCTACCTGCAGACTGGTGCTCTGGTCAGAGAAGGGCGAGCTGAAGAAAGTAGTGACGATGCTCATCACCGTCTCTGTCACGTATCGCTCCAGAATGGTGTCAGCGTGTTTCCGGTCGCTCGTGTAGTTACAAACCTACAGCAAAGACACATAAAATATACAGAAAATAAACTGTTTTACATCTATGGCAGAGTTATGAAATGGATTTAATTTAACACTGTTGCCATAGCAATTAAAGGACCCATATTACACTACCTTCCGATCAATGTTATAATGTAGTTTCCTCATCAAAACATATCTGGAGTGTTTTATCATTCACACATGTTTAACACACAAATGCATTTAGGTTGTGTTCTTCTCTCAAATAGTAAACACCCCGTTCTATCTTGTGATGTCACATGCTTCACTGTGTTTTAAACTCCATACACCTTCACTAGAATCATTTGGATCACTTGAATATATCACACCTGTGTTGTGTGACCGGCGCTGGCTCCCTGTCTCATATAGGGTGCAATTTAAAATGCTATTAATTGTTTTCAAATGTTCTCACTCTATGGGTCCAGTCTATTTGAGGGAGTTACTGCAGCTTTGTCCTCCACCCAGAGCCCTGAGATCAGCTGACCAGCTCCTGTTGGTCATACCCAAAACTAGACTTAAGACGAGAGGTGTCAGAGGCTTTTCTGTGGCAGCGCCCAGACTGTGGAACAACCTGTCAGATCCTCTCAGTCTGTAACACATTTTAGACTAGACTGAAAACTCACCTCTTCTGCCTGCATTTAGTATGAGCTAGTCAGGTTATCTTGGTGTTTTTATTGTACTTTTCACATGTTATCTGTAAATATGTATGTAACTGTTTCTTCTATTTTGTTGACTTGTATGTAAAGCACTTTGGTCAGCTGAAGTTGTTTTAAATGTGCTATAGAAATAAACTTGAATTGAATTGAATTTCAGCCCTGTTAATTTGAAAACTACTGTTTCATGACATCACAAGGTGAAAAAGAGCATTTTGAGCTTTGAAGATGTAGACACTAGAGCCCGACCGATATGGATTTTGCTGTGGCCAATATGAAACCAATATAATGGGAGTTGGCTCTGCCGATAGCCGATATAATCGCCGATATATTTAGTGATGTAAAAATTCACTGTAAATGTTGAATTGTTTAAAAAACTTAGGTTTGGCTCTGGTGGATTTTAAATTGGGTTTATTTAGGCAACATTTATTGTTATTCTGCCTCTTTACATCATATTTACAGACAGTAGGTTGGCTTAATGGCATTTTTGCATCACATTCTAGACACTAGTGATGGGTATTCCAGTTCTTTTTAGAGAACCGGCTCTTTTGGCTCGGCTCACTAAAAGCTGCTGGTTCTTTTGGCTCCCAAGCGGCTCTTCAGATTGTTTTGTTGCAAGCAGGTCTAAAGCAGGACTGAATCAGGACTGAACCAGGTCTAAACCAGGACTGAAAAAGGACTAAACCCGGGACTTATTTATTTTATGCTAAACTACAGCCAAATATGCTCGTTATTTGTTTTGTTTTTAATCCTATGTACACGCAAATTTCTTAAAGTTTCGTTTTCAGCCGCTGTCAAACTACCACGAGTCTGCACGCGGCGTGATGACAAAAAAAAGTGAGAGAAAGAGAAAACACGACTCCCAATAAGGATCAGTCTCCCGTCGTTCGCTTCAAAGAGCCGGTTCTAAGAGTCATTTCGTTCGCGACGGACCCATAACTAGTAAAGAAACTAGCGCTATTAGCCTTTAGCCGTAAATACGTGCGCGCCGCGGTAATTAATTATATGCGCAAATGTCATAATTCACACACGTCTATTCACAGCTCATTTACATATCAGTGCAGGTCCAGTAACAAATATACGGCCAATATAGTCACTTTAGAACAGACCAATAGAAAACAGCCTGTTTATGTGCGGGAGCTACAGCAGCTAACCCATAACAAATCACCAAAACTAGCTTCAAAGTCGACATATTTCCAACACTCACCGCTCACACAGGCTCCTCCTCACATCACAAGTCTGCACTAATAAATGTCCTTTTAATCCAGACTCAAACCGATTGCTGAAGAATATAATCTCAATGTTTGGATCTGTGTATGCGGGTGTAAACAAACGCACGTGAGTGACACGACTCTGTGGTGTGTTCAGGGACAGTACGGACGCACACACAGACAAAAGACAAATGACTCCGTAGATAAATACTGATGTGGAGCCACATATTAGGACATTTATCTGTCTGTAAATTGGATTAAATGAACATAATGTAGAGAATCTAAGATTTTTAAAGACGTATCACATGCCCACGCGAAATATCGGCCCCTATTTGCAAGCATATCGGCCGATAGCCGATATGCCTCCAGGTACCCATATCGGCCGATAATATCGGTCAACCGATATATCGGTCGGGCTCTAGTAGACACTAATAAAAAAGGGTTACTCAAACTCTAATGTGTGAATGAAACAAAACACAACTCCAGGTGTGTTTATAACATGACTTAAAACTCACAAGATGTCATTTTGCGTAATATAGGACCTTTAAGAATTTACACCTTTTGAATTTCCAAAAGTACTCAAAATGGCCCCTCTGTACAGGAAACTGAAACTCATGAATAGGTTGTGTTCTCTACATTCAAGAATCCAATGTCATAATCTCCAATGGAAGGCAGGGGATTATATAACTTTAACTCTAACCCTAACCCTAACTTTTTCACAGTTTCAGATGAACAAATCCATAAATATTAAGCTAAGAAAAGCATTATAAAGTCATTTCAACTGCTGTCAATAACACCATATGCAATAGAAGAACACTAGTTGTACCTTAACAGGAAAAAAATAATCACAATTTTACAAGTTTATTTGTGCTTGTTTCATGTCGTTAGAGTCAGTAATTACAATTACAAACAACATCAGGATATTTACAAAATGCCTCTTACCCTACAGATGTCCACCAGAAAGTTCTCAAACAGTTTCCACATGTGATTCGACGTGTAGATCTCCTTCATTTCAACTTCCGTGTCCACGTAACAGTGATTCAAGAAGTTTATGTACGCAATTTTTATCTGACAAAACAAAAACCAAAACAAAATCTAGTCAGATTTTATAATAATCAAAGAAAGGATACTGAATCTATGGTACAGAGGAAGGACTGTGCAAAGCTGTGCAACATTTCAGGCAGACTAATAACATCTCCATGAAAACAAGCAGGTGCTGGATTCCCCTATCAGAACGGTTACATAGTGTACATTTTCTTGCTTTATTTGCTGGAATTCTACATTATAATAGTCAAAATTTCATTGGAGAGGATAACACAGAGCAGGGGGTGAGACAGGTCATTTGTTCAGACCTCAGGGATGCAGTCCTCATGCGTCACCACCCTCACGATGTCGTCCAGGGGCAGCAGAGAGTTGCACTTGATTTCAGTGTAGACGTTTTTGCCCTCAGTGCAGACGGCCAGCAGCTCCACCAGGTGAATGTGATACATGAGAGCACTGTTCTCATCCATGCGGTCTCTCTCTGACCTCATCATCTGCACCAGCGTCTGGAACGAGGCTCGGTCATTGTAGAACACCAGCACGTCCTCTCCGGCATTCACCAACTGTGCACAAGAGGGAAGAGAAGGACTGTGAGTATCTACAAGTATAAAAAACTTTAAGAGGAGGTGTTACACTTCTACACATGGAATATAATTGCTAAAACATCATATTTAGATCTGTAACTCCCCCTCTTAACTCCCCCCTCCCCCTTCAGAGCACACATCAAAATCAGCATGCATCCCTCTAATGAAACTACTGCACATCACACCAGGTTTGGTACAGTTTTGCGTCTTTTGCACATTTATGGAGATTTGTCGTGTGGGCCTTGTACAGGTTCGTACTACTACTAAAAAAGTTGATTTGCATCTATTCTTTAAAAAAATTCCATTAGAAAGACTTTTTGAGAAAATATCGATAGAACGTAGTTTGAAGTCTGAAGCAAACAAATAATAATAACTGCGAGGACAAGGAAACTGTAGATGTCTGAATGATACAAGACTATTTGTTTGAGTAAAGACGTCTTCTGCTTTTGAGAGACACGTGCTACAATTTAAGCTGTGGTTGGATGGTCCCACATTAGGACAGAGGTGTGATGCCCTTTATAATCCGATTCCAGACCCTTCTTCATTCAGACAAAGTGGGAGGGACTCTCTTCTCACACACATGCACACAGGGATACCTCGGCCATGACGATGTCCTGGCACTTCTTAATGAACTTGTTCTCTGCTTTGACGATGGTCTGGAGGAACTTGAGGTACTGGACGTTGCGGCCGTGGGTCTCGATGCAGTGGACAAAGTGCTGCACCACCCTGTCGTTGATCTCACTGCACAGCTGGAAGTTATTCATGAAGATGTGCTGCATGGTGATGGCCTCCAGGATCTGCTCAGAGACAGGACAAAGCTTACATCATGTTTGGATTTTTGAACAATGGGGACCTTTACTAGCCCGATTCATCAGCCGGTTTCACTTCATAGAAACTGTCTGACCTCGCAGCATTAGGATTCGTTCGCTCGACAGTAGGCAGGTACTTTTTTTACTTAACCAACCGCTGCTATTTGGTCGTGACATATGTAATGCGCCGCTAACTGGTATATTAAACTTTTCCTAAATCCGGTAGGAAGAAGGACAATAACATCTTTCCCCTTGATAAAATTCACCAAACATTTTCTTTATTCCGGCTTTAAATCCTCAATCTCAGGAATCGTTGACAAAACTGAATGTATGGCTCTTCGCTGATTGGCTGGTGCCCAGACTCGCACTTCCTGGATTCTTGCAAACCATCTAGTGTATTCTGATTCCTGACCTTGCTGGAGAGAAATGAAATTGAGTGGAGGCACTAGGTGGTGCCAGCCTGGCTAGACCTTTACACCACGTCCAGTAAAAATCAAATAACTAGAATAACAACATAACTCAAAAATTAGATCAGATGTTTGGTGTGCATGTAAACACAGACACTGTTCTATGAGAAGAGCTCACCCCCCGGGTTGAGGAACAGATTGATGTTTTTGTGGAGCAGAGCCTGGTTCTGTTGGTTTCCTGCACAGAAGTTCTGCAGAAACTGATGAGCCAACTTCATGATGTCCTGCATCCGCACATCTTCACCCTGGAAATAATACACACGTTACTGAAGTCTTCTGGGATTCACAGAACCATAGTTTCAATGTAACTAAACCTTCTCTGAGACTACAGTGATTTGCCAAAAGGCCACTCTGAATCAACCTAAACACACTTTCTTACATGAAATTCTTCCATACATCAGTGAATTACTCATGTTAATGATGAGCCAAGTCAGTTGTAATGTAATGTATTTGTAATGTGTATGTAATGTGTATTTTTAGTGTGTTCACCTGCCCAGGGCCTGCAGAGGGAAAAGTAGCAGCAGCTAAATCTGGTACAAATCACCTTTTCTTTTGTGACATTAATGAATCTGTTCATGGACCCTGACACATGAAGAATAAACTAAATTAAACAAATAATTTCCCAATTCAGTGGGTGAAGTGCCATGCTCAAGGGCCCTGTGCACTGATTGGAGCAGAACATTCCAGGTAAAGAAAAATATAATAAAAAAGTACATATATAAATAAGTATGGCATAAAAAAGCGGAATAATGCACCCTGTGAGGTGACTGCAGTTGTGATATTGGGCTAAACTAAAATAACTGCACCTCTTCAAATGTTTGAAATCTAATGAAACTAATAAGAGAAAAGCCCACATGTGTTTGCGTCCAGTACCTTCTCATATGGGATCTGCAACAGCTCCAGCACCACGGCGTGAGCGCTCATGTTCCTCAGAAGTCTCTGCTGCTGTTTGCGGCTCTTTCTCCCAGACAGCCCCTCCTGCACACACAGCCGGCTCAGACGAAGCAGGATCTGAAACAAAAGGGGGAGTAAGTGTGTGACATTGAGGAGAAGGTTTGTGATAGAATGGGTAATAACACTACAGCACCTCTTTGACCACTCTGTAGTTGTAGCTGCTGGTGCTCTGCTTTCTTTGGTTTGTCAGAGCCACCAGATCCTCCCTACAGAAAAGTTCAAACATAAAGTTGTTATATAAATGATACTTATTCAAACTAAAAAATGCAGTGACATGTTGCTGAGCAGGTCTGGGAGAATGAAATTAAAGTGGCTCTACCCAGTTTTTTCCATGTAGTTGAGCTAAATTTGTCTTGCCCCAGTAGAGATACGATGTAAAAACAGCCCTTAAGTTAGAAATGAGACTGCTGTTTTACCCTCTGAGAATCAGGAAGTGCACTATTGGCATGCTAGCATTACTGTGATGCATCTGGTCTCTGAAAGCTGTGAAAAGTGCTTATTAACTTGTTGTGGTGAATAATCAAGAAGCTTAAATGTATAAGGTAAGTGAGGAATAACTTAAAATCACTGCAAACTGTTTAAAATGAACTTGTTTTTCATGTTTTTAAGACGTAAAAATCAGGTACAGCACCTTCAACACAAGACGAGTTATGTGTAGTGATGGTAGTACTAATTTACAGAGTATTTGCATGCAGTTTGCAGACTTGATCATGTTCAGTTGTGCATGTAGTGCTAAAACAAAGCCTGGTATGTCTCTGACCTTGTCCATGGTGCTGTCCCCAGTGTCCATGCTCTCGTCCGGTCCCTGTCTCTTATAAACCCACAGCTCAGACTTCTCCACAATGGATCTCAGCTGATCCAGGTCTGATTTGATCTGTTTGTAATTCTCCACGTCCTGACTGGTGACCAACAGCTGCACCTGTACAGCACACAAAAATATATACATACATATTTAAATCATGTTATGAAGTCCAGATAAAACTACAATCCTCTGGAGGTTTCCCGACCATCTCTTTCAACAAATTCAACAACATGCAAAAAACTTTTAAATCTTTGAATCAATCAGCTAAGCAATTGTTGATAAAACTACTACTTTAAACTAATGTGAATTGAACAGCTCTTCTCGGGGCTTGTCATACGTCAGCATACAGCAGCATACAGCACGGATGGTCAAAAGGTGAAGCAGCAGATCAGTGTTGCTATTTTCAACAAATAAAAGTAAAAACATCATAAATCAATCCCCAAAACAACTTAAGGCAATGTAAAATAATCATTTTTGCTGCATGTGCTGGCCTGTTGGTGTTTAGTAGTAGTAGTAGTAGTAGTAGTAGTAGTAGTAGTAGTAGTAGTAGTAGTAGTAGTAGTAGTAGTAGTAGTAGTAGTAGTAGTAGTAGTAGTAGTAGTAGTAGTAGTAGTAGTAGTAGTAGTAGTAGTAGTAGTAGTAGTAGTAGTAGTAGTAGTAGTAGTAGTAGTAGTAGTAGTAGTAGTAGTAGTAGTAGTAGTAGTAGTAGTAGTAGTAGTAGTAGTAGTAGTAGTAGTAGTAGTAGTAGTAGTAGTAGTAGTAGTAGTAGTAGTAGTAGTAGTAGTAGTAGTAGTAGTAGTAGTAGTAGTAGTAGTAGTAGTAGTAGTAGTAGTAGTAGTAGTAGTAGTAGTAGTAGTAGTAGTAGTAGTAGTAGTAGTAGTAGTAGTAGTAGTAGTAGTAGTAGTAGTGACCTGTTTGAAAGCCTGGAGGACCTCCTGTCTCTGGCTGAAGTGTCTGAAGAGCAGGTGCAGGGCTCTGGACACTAGGGGGGGATAGTCGTGCATCGTGAGGTGGAGCAGGACCCTCAGAAATGTGCGGCCGCCGTGGTCATCCAGATCCAGAGGGGTGTTCTCTTCACTGAAACACAGGACACTACTGAACTCACGGTCTCTGTACAACTGAATTATGTGCACATGTTGTTTGTGATCATATTAGTGATGGGATCAATTCTCCTGTTATATTAATGTAAAGTCACCATAAGGATCATTATTTTAACCACTGGCAGGTTTGGACAAATCTGCAATATTTATTCATAACAAAAACAATATTACCTTCCTCCAAATATGCCCTCTGCCTGCTCCTCTATGTGCTCGAAATCCAGTGCACCTGGATTCAAAAAGGTCAGATTCAAAACTGATACTTGGAGATTAAAATGTAAAAAGGTTTTACTGACCAGGCATATTGTTGGGACCCTCCACTGTCCCAGAAATGGAAAATTCACTTTGAGAGTTGCTCTCATCAAACTCTCTTTTAAAGATGGAGAGGAGACATGAGATCCTGTAGTCCAGTCGAACATTCAAAATGAACTGGAAAGAAAACAAATGTGAAAGAGTTTATAGATCAGATCAGTTACAGTACATAAAGAGCTGAGTAGAAATGTCAGTATTATTTGATATTTGGTAATAGTTACTGTTCTAAGCATAAGAACTACAAAATATTTGTAAATAAGAAACTTAAATTCCATTGAAACTTGTAAAAATAAATCTAAAAGCAAAGCACATTTTTATCGGGCTCTTTGTGTCACTTTAAAGCACACGCGGTGCAAAATCCACTTTTAAGCACATGTCATAACTTGTATAAATTGTTTTCCCTTCTTATTTACATACAGGTTGTATTTCTGATTATCGTACAATAAAAGTCTTTATTATTCGATTTTTCTTTTCCTCCAAGCACTGTTTATACAATATATCTGTACTGGGGCAAAACACATTTTGCATATTGTGCTCATTCATGGGGGGAGATACTGCACTCATACCTGCAGTATCTCGATGATCTTGAGCTTGGTGTCCATGACGAGGATGTCCTGTTTCTCCGGCTCGGTTTGAGTCTTGGTCACGTCTCTGGAGGTGGACGTGGTGGAGGCTGTCGGCAGGAACCCTCCTCCTCTGAGCACCACCTGAGACATGAGCTCCCCCACACCGTGAATGGAGCGCATCACATTACTGCCTAAAATCACACAGGTGGGAGAGGAGGGAGGTTTAAGAGTAACAGATAACTAGAGCTTTAAACCAATTTTCTATCAGTTTAGTTTTTATTTGAAGAGATCATATGCAGCAGGATGTATCAGTGCGAGTGCCATGGTGACCTGGGGAGCTGGTGCTGTAGGTGCTATTTTTAAGAACCAAACACATATTATGTATTTCTTTGTTTCACTAACTGTAAAATAAAGGTGATATATAACACAACATTGATTCTCGTAAGTTTTAAGGCATTTTAAAAAGTTGTTACCTCATCAAAAACATACATTTGACTAAAACCTTATTATTAGTCTGTGCACATCTTCAAAGCTCAAAATACTCTTTTCAAGTTCACAGGCACCATTTTCCTTTTGTTCAGTGTTTGTGTGTTAAACTTGTGTGAATTAAACAAAACACAACTCTTTGTATGTTCTTGATGAGGAAACATTAGAACAGAGATCAGCAAACGGCAGAATATGGGCTCTTTATGTGAGGGTCCTGCTCCTCCTACCCCTCCTTTCCCTGCTCCCTCTCTCTGTATCCACTTACCTTGTTTGGCATTTCCTGGGCGGGGCCCAATCATGCACCTGCTGAGCTCCACTCCTGTTCTTCATCAAGTAATCATCTCCTACAATAAAAGACCTGCTGACCTGCTCTCCAGTGCAAGATTCTTCTGTAATCCCAGCGGTGAACTACTCAGGCTTTTTAAGATTTTTTGAGAATTCCAGAGACTTTTTGATGCTTACCTGTTTCTTTTGTACTGTCCCCAGCACTTCATTTGGAGCCAGCCTCATCCTGTACCCACCAGTTTCTGTAAGCCTCCGGTCAACCTCCATCTCCACAGACCTCCCATCTGCAGCCAACCCAGACCTGTCCTGCCTCCCCTGGAATCTATCCCCCCGCCAAGACTATTTTTGTGAAATAAATACTTTTTTCCCTCTGCATATTTGGGTCCGACCAGTGATTCCTTAACACTTTAAACATCAAAACAATGAATATGTCAACTTCCTTTCTTTAAACAAACAATGAAATTGTAGTGTAGCAGTAAAACAATCAATTACCTAATTTAGCATCACAGTATATTGCATTTTGATATTCTTAGAACCTGTGATGTCCATTGTTTTAACCTTTAACAGGGAAAAGTCTTGTTAAGATTAAAAAAGAAGCAACAAGATCTGATACAACAGACTCACTCATGTGTCTATTTCCCTGTTTAAAATTCTTTGAAAGACTCTAAGAAACCAGCCCCTTCAATAAATGTCTCTGTACATTGTCCCTTCAACTAAAGACTAAACTAAACTTCAAGTAGTTTTGTGGCGCTGTATCTAGGTCTCAATACAATATTCCCTAATACTCCCTGTACCTTCATTTCTATAAGTTTTAGAAGTAAATAGTGGAGTTCACAAAAGAACAACTAATTCCAACAAGGCCAGCAAAACCACTAGACCATAAAAATTGTAATTAATTGTAAAAAAAATAAATAATAATAACTGAAGTAACTAAAGAGTGACCTTTGCTCTCGTCTCCCTTGTGCAGGACGTTAAAGGGGAACATGGTGCTGACATGGACACAGTCGAGAATCGCCAGCAGGATCTTGGTCAGTCTCAGCAGGTCACTGAAGTTATAGAAGCCGAAATAAATCAGGTTTCTGGCCAGATTCACCACCTGGAATAAGAGTTAAAATAAGAGCTTGTCATGTTATGTTTTTGCTTATCATTACTTTACTTTTTTATTTTTTTATTTTTCCACGCATAACATAACAATAAAAAAACACACCAGAAAAAAAGAGGCAAAAAACCCAAAAGGGCGAAATATTAAAGCCTCCACCTTATGAATACATTAAAAACTGAACATTATTATTATGTGCATTAAAAAAAAAAATATATATATATATATATATATATATACAACAGATAAGCGCATATGTACTCTAGTTTATGAAACTGTTGGTTCTAAAGTTACATACGTTTTAAACAGACCATGTATGCAACAAAAATTATTTCCCAAATTTCAAAGACCTGCAAATCATGTAAATAAATGGATGTATTTCATCATATCTTGTGTTATTTGATCTTTGAACTGTTGATGAAGGTACATGATTTTTCAAAACAAATTTCTTTAAAATGAGTGTTAACTCTTTCCTACATTCTGATACTTTACTTATTTCAATAGTCCCTCTAGTTTCTGAATAAGAGCTGTTTGAATGTAAAAAATCTGCCCCTGTTTCCCTCCATTACCGCTTGACCGGACCCAAATATTAATCTCATAGATATTAAGAATGTTAAGTTTGATGAATAAATGAGCAGACGGTGTAAGTGGCAGGAATGAGTTGCAATTCGAACAAAACATTTTTGCACCAACAATATTTTGTTCAGAGTAGAGAAAGCGCAGCCCAGACATGATTACAATATCACAGACAGGGATAAATTAAACTATAGTATAATGTAAGTATAGACTTTGAGTCCACAAGTTTACAAACCTTTCTTATAATACTAAGAGATTTATTAATTTTTCTGGTCACCCACTCAGCTGCCCTTTCCAGTTTAGATTATCACTTTAAAGGTTCTATATTATGCAAAATGGACTCTTGTGAGCTTTACGATATGTTATGATGCTCCTCAAAAAACAGACCTGGAGTTGTGTTTTGTTTTATTAACAGAGTAATAACTTTGAGTAACCCTTTTTTACTCAAACGTGATGTCATGAAGAGGTAGTTTTCAAATGAATAAATGAATAGCTTTAGTTTAGTAGAAATGGGTAATTCCAGGTCTGAAATTATCAAAGTTATTCAAGTGAAGGTGTATGGAGTTTAAAAACAAAAGTTACAGATGAGGGGAGAGGAAAAAAAGAAAATGCCTTTAAAATTATGTTTTAAGATTGTAATAAATAGTAAAAAATTACAAAAGGAAATTATGATGGTGAAAATAGTATTAGTTAAGTATAGTGAATAAAAAAGTTTATTAAAAAATGAAAAAAAATAAATAAATAAAAAAATCAGTTATGCTACACTGTTTTGTATTTGTTGTGGATGTTACTCTATGTCAGAAATGTCAAACTCAGGCCCACGACATAATTATATTTGGCCCGTGAGATCACATCAAATATGTACTAGAGCTGCCCGCTGGCTACAGATAGACTATAGAGACATTATTTATTTAAAATTGTGTTATATTTTATATTCTGCATTTTCTGGATTCAATGTTTAAGCGAAACTATTATTAAACATTTATTTAAATAAGAAAAGATTTAACATTACATATCTCAAAAGAAGAGAAAACATGCAAATGTTGTTGAACTTTTTCAATAAATATTTAGTTTAGCCCATCCCATGACTTAGTCCCAGTTTTTAATTTTGGCCTCTGTGAATTTGAGTTTGACACCCCTGCTCTATGTTTTTGTGTTTTGTTTTTAATGTTGATTATTGTATTTTGTTAAATGTCTCTCCATTGTCTTTAATAATAATAATAACAAAAGTGTGTCAGCTTTGGCCTGACAGAAGAAGAGCAGAGAGCACAGGTGAGTCTGAACAAAGGTCAGGTGACAGGGGGAGGGGTCAGGTGAGGATAGAGGAACAGGTCTCACATCTGCCATCTACTGGTAACTTGCAGATAGTAGCTTTAAATACCAGAAAAAAAGCAAAACATGCCTTCTTTATGCATTTTTTCTATTGATATTGGTCTAAAAGAAGATACACTGTGAGTCTGTGTGTGACCTCGAACGTGAGCTTGTTCTTCTCTTTGTCGGCGAAGGGGAAGCTCTGACACACCACGTCTCGGAGGTAATTCTCCACAAACTCCATGGTCTGAGAAAAACGCTCTTTTATCTCATCTTTTGAGGTGCCATCGTTATCGTAACTGTAACAGAAGGAGAGTGAATATGAACATCATAAATCAAAACACTACCCAGGACACAACAATGAAATCAAAAGAAAACATTTGGGGTAAGACGTAGACCAGTGGCTTTTTTACATGTAGCATGATTTGGCAAAATGTACTTGCTGTGTGACTGTGATAGTCTTGTTTTCTCATAAAATAAAAAAATAACTGTGATGTCATTATTTAATAAAGACAGAATTGCTTGTATGTGTTCTGCAAACATTTACTAACATTTACTGAACAACTATTTTTTTATGTTCCTACGATAAAAAAAGAAATTGGCCACAGAGCAATTAACTTCAAAGCCCCAAATGAATGGAACAACTTACCCTCCTCAATCCAATCAATTACATCGATCCACCATTTTAAAGCGTCAGTTTTCAGATACAAACATCCTGCTCCTGTTTTCCATCAAAATATATTTTGTTCTATGTACTTTCTGTTGTACATAGTGTTGCTTTTTCTTCTTCTTCACTAATTTACTAATTTACAGAGATGTATGTCTTAGAATCCTGTATTGTGTAGTGTGAATGTTGTCTGTGTGTTGTGTTTGTCTTTTGTTCTGTTTTGATTTGTTTTTTCTTTCTTTTCTGTAAATGCTATGTTTCTTCACGTATTTAGGACTCCCTTGCCAACGAGATGCTTAGGGGCTTCTCTTATCAATAAAATAAATAAATGTTTAAACAATAAATACCAGTAACACTATATTTTAGGGTACACTTATTAACATCTAACTACCCGCTAATTAGCACAGTTGTAAACAAAATTAATGTCTAATTCCACATCAGCTCATTCTGTTATTAGTTAGACATTTACAAACACTTTCCTATGAATACACTCCTTATTACTGTTTATTAATATGACAGTAAGCCATTTATGTCCATGAATTATGATTCTAAATAACTAACAACTACGTTTCTTCTGCTACAAGTCCTTAACAGCACCATCTTATTAGAATCATAATTCATATACAAAAATAGCCTAGTATCAAACTAATAAGCAGTAAGAAGGAGAGTATTAATAAGAAAGTGTAAATGTCTAAGTAGCAGAATAAGCTTTTAGGGAATTAGACATTAATAAGGGTTAAATACATACTAATGAATGACAAATTAACCATTTACAACTATGCTAATTAGCAGGTAGTTAGATGTTAATAAGTGTACCCTACTGAGGAATCCAAAGAGTAGTTCAGACTGCTTGAATTCGAGCTGTGCAATTTATCACATTTTAATCAAATCAGTCTTTTTATGGAGAGCTAGAGTCAATCCTCTGACGATTAAAAGCATCTCTGGACATTAGGGGAATGACTTGGGCAGTTTAACGTGATTTAATGGTGTTACTGCCACGGTCCTCCAGCTCCTCCCACAGCCAGATCTGTTTTGGTCCGTGTGTGTGCAAGCCTCCAGACCCCTGCTGTGATTGGAGGACTCATTCAGCTGGCACCTGGTTCCTCCCAAGCTGATTGGTGGAAAGCAGCAACACCTGGCCAATCCTGGGCCTACACCTACAGCATCAGCCCTATTAAAAGGCCCCACCCCCTGCCCCTCATGTCAGCTGTTCTGACTGTGGACTGCATGCCAATTTTGTCTCTCATGGTGTACTGTTTAACTTTGTTTGAGACACTAGTAGTCCTTGTGACTTAGTTGAGACTGGTTTTGTTTTTCTGTTGTCATTTTGTATATTCTGTTTTTGTAAGCCTACTTTTAATTACATGCATTTTTGTTACTTTGTTTAGAGCCTCTTTTGGTTAATTAGTCATCTTTTGTTAGTTTTACCTTTTACAGTTTTTTTTTTAATAAATCCCAACTTTACCACTTTACCATCTTGGTTATTTTGTTACTTCCCCATCACTAGCGGAGCGGGGTCATAACAAATGGTTTAATGTGTTCTTCGGGTTCTTAAAATAAGATTTAAGCAATATTAACTTATTTAAAAAATAAAAAGACAGACTTGAATAGGAAATTGTGAAACATTGAAATATGTATTCAAAATTGCTTACAAAACTCTAAATCAACACAAAAGGATGAAACTCACTCGTCTATAGCGATCTGGGAGGGGATCTCGGACCAGAGGCGGGCGTATTTGACAGGCGTGACCTGCTCCTGGGGGTCGCGGTCCACGTGCATGTGTAGCATCATGCGACAGAAGGAGGCGCGGAGGTCAAAGGGCAAGTCCTCGTCTGACATGCATCTCAATATGAGGTCCACGTCCAGCTGACCAGAGATCTTATTTATGGCCAGGTACTGTCGGTCCAGACACATCCGTGCAAACAGGTTCAGCTGGTACCTACAAGGGCAACAGGATCATGTGGTTTATGTAAATATTTCTGGAATGACTGACCCCTGTGCATATACAGCAAAACCTGGTACAAAGCTTAAAGTACATGACACGTTTAAAGGTACACTGTGTCATTTCTCTAGTTAAAGGTCTGTCAAATTCTTTTCTCAATGAAGATGACATTCATTTGTCTGGAATGTTACATAGCATGGTATTAAATCTTTCTATCTTCATGGAGACCAAACCAGACTAAGATACAGGTCAGATCTGTGGAGAGGCGACCTCGTTCATAGTCCAAATGTCTGTTTTTCTAGGTATTTTTGAACTATAAAACTACCTGTAATTGAAAAAATGAGCTGTGTACTGTCGTACAGTGGAACATTCCAAGCAGTGAAATGAGATCTCCATAGAAAAAAGCAGATGACAGACCCCCAACCAAAAAGCTTCATAGTACCTTTTCGAATTGAGGGTCCACCACCTGCTTGTCTTCAAGGCTCCAAGGAGATATTATTGCTTTATAGAGAATCTTCCAATAAGGATTAAACCTATCTATCTCAAGGGAGACAACTATAGGCTACATTGCAGGTCAGATCTGTTAGAGGCAACTGTATTCACAGAGAGAATTCTGGCAAAGTAATACCATCTCCATGAAGACAAGCAGGTGACGGAAGGGCTGTCACAGTTAGGGAGTTTCTCCTGTGATATGTGGTGGTATATCGGCTTAACAGCACGGTATGTGATGATATCGCACCCCTCCCCCACCCCCCATCCCCTGGAGTTATAATATTTCCAGCGCCACTGAAAACTCTCTCTTATGATGCTCTTGTTGTGCACATGTACCTTGGTTGTCGTGTTGATATAGTGTGTGCAGTGGGAGAAGTAACATTTGGCCTTGGAACAAGTGTCGCTGCATCTCTCCAGCTCTCACTGTGACAGCTCAGTTCAGAGTCCTGCTCCAGGTCAGGTACCCGCGAGCATGAGCACATGGAGCAGGTGTCCGCAAAGCGCGATTGGCCAACGGGCGCACTTACCTCCGTGCAGCGCAAAGCACTGCACCAGTCCTTTCGCCTGCGGTCACCAGATGGTCTACGTGGGCGCACCTTAGTCCTGGGTCAGTCATGGGTCAGTCGTGGGTTAGTCCTGGGTTAGTCCTGGGTGATCATGGTAGAATGTTAATGGGTTGGGGCAGGTGCGGGTCTCTAAAAATGAACCCATGCAGGACTCTGGGTCAGGTCACGTTGGTCACACGTTGGTAATCGCGGTGGCCCAACATGCACCCCGGTGGGGCTCTTAGTGGTGATTCATTTTTGCGGTTATTGCGACAGCCCTAGGTGACGGACCCTCCACCTGAAAAGTAGTGCACTGCACCTTTAAGTATTACTAGGATGGGCTTGGGAGCATACATATTGTGGGAAAATACAAAAATATAGGCAGTAGCGCTGAGTTTTAAATGTAATCAACAGAAAATTAACTTCCAAAGAACAATTCCCGTTTCCCAGCCGACCAAAACTACGCACTTATCCACACCATATCCCTACTGTAGTGTTTAATCCCCAGTGTATTTAATATATCTTCAAATCGACATGCAAGATATTCCTAAAATGATATACTGCTCACCTTTAACTACATAACAACTAAAGTATTGCAATACCGGTAGTAGCTGACGACTTCCTGGTCCTCTTTCTGGCCTTCTTTGGCGTCCTGGGCCAGCTCTCGAATACTTTTACTGCGGATCTCTTTGTTACTGTCCTTCCAGAAGAGCCACACCTCCTCCTCGTCCTCCTCCGACTCCTCCGCGTTCTCTCCCAAATGCTCCCCCTCTATCTCAAACCGGGACAGCACCAGTCTGCAACAACAAATGTTCAGTGGCAGTTTGTGAAGAAAAGTTGATTACGAAAAAGTTTGAATGTGATACAAGGTGGTGCTGAGTTTTAAAGGTGCATCATGTAACTTTTCTGGAGATCTCATTGCTCTGCCTGGAATGTTCCACTGTATGACATTAAAAAGCTCTACTGTACTTTTATTCAATTACAGGTGGTTTTATAGCTCAAAAATACCTAGAAAAACAGACATTCTGGCTGTGAGCGGGGTCACCTCTCCACAGATCTGACCTGTAACTTGAGGTTCGGTCTCCATGAAGATAGAAAGGTTTAATGCCATACTGTGAAACATTCTAGATAAAGCAATAACAGTCCCAGAGAGAAGAGCATTTAATGGCGCCTTCACCAGAAAAGTTACACAATGCACCTTTAAAATGGAATATCTCTGTCTATACATCAACACAAAATTCATCCAAAATGCAGGGACAATTTACACGCAAGACAAATGATTTTCTGACAGTTTGTTAAGCAGAAAATCATGAGTAATTTAGAAAAGTCTTGACTCCATTTTGGTAAAATTTATGTACCATATTTTTCGGATTATAAGTCACTCCGGAGTATAAGTCGCACCAGCCAAAAAATGCGCAATGAAGAAGAAAAAAACATATATAAGTCACACTTTTTGGGAAAATGTATTTTATAAATACCAGGAACCGACATTTCATCTTGAAAGTCAAATTCTAGTAATAACAATAGAGCAGAGAACAACAGGCTGAACAGTCGTTAATATGTTAACGTCACATATGAACAATTATTCAGATGATTATGGCATAAACAACAGAACATAAGTTTAGCAAACTCTCCATCTCACTCCAAATCACTAAATCCATTGAATTCTTCATCCGGAGCTGTCGTCAAACTCAGCATCAGTTCCAGTTAGAATTATTCCGGTCTTTCTGAATCCCGACAGGATGGTTTTGTCACTGAAGTTCAGGCTTTGTCGATTCATCCAGTGACTTCAGGAAAGTTACATGATGCATCCTCCCAAGTCCCATGAAGCTGTGTTCTCCAGCCCAACTTTCCGCCAATCCCTCACAAGTTTCTCACTCACTTCAAACTTTCTTTCTGCTACTCGATTACCGTTTTCTGCTGCATATTTCACTACTTGAAGCAGGACAGCGAATTTTTCTACAGGAGGCATGCACAGTTCAGTGTCAGTGACAGTGGTACAGGAGTAATAGCAGTACTAGATACTGACACACAAGACTAGAGCGCCCTCTTGCAGCTGTCAGTCTGAAAATTTGAATATGCACCGGAGTATAAGTTGCAGGAAACACTCAAACCATGAAAAAAAGTGCGACCTATAGTCTGAAAAATACGGTACCATATTTTTCAGACTATAAGGTGCACTGGATTATAAAGCGCAATATCAATAATGTTGAATTCTCTCGTCTATTTTCATACATAAGGCACCGGATTATAAAGTGAATCAAGAGAAACAAATGGACAACACATGAGACTGATCGTTAGTCCAGGTATCCACGATCCATCGGCAGATCGTGGTGTAACTCAACCGGTGTTGCCTCCCCGTCTTGGTGAATGTGTACTGTGAATACTCAAACATACATTCAGTAATAATGTGTTTAATGCAGCTTTGCACACATTTGTTCATGTTTTACAGAAGCAAAACTTAAAACTACATGGCTCATTTGCATAAAATATAAGTTCTGAAAAATGACTCCACGAGGCTCCGGACTACAGTGGCCGTAATGCTCCGACAATCCATCAAGCAAGTTCTGGTACCAAAGTCATACTAAAACATTTTGACAGATTTGAGCACTGGGTACAACATAAAATCAGTTCAAGGTCAGTAAGTACAACCAGAATTAATACATAAGGTGCACCGGATTATAAGGCACACTGTCCATTTTTGAGAAAATTAAAGGATTTTAAGTGCATCTTGAAGTCTGAAAAATACAGTAATTTCTTCTATAAATTCTGTACATTTGCTGTAAATTGTCACTCCTCTAACCATCATAGCGTCACCTGATTAACTATGGATACAGCCAAATCTAATGTCCCTCTACCAGAACAAGACATAGTGTACCTGTAAACAAAGATCAGCTTTAGTCTTACTTGGTTTCGATGAGGATGTCTGCGTTGGCAGGGTCCAGGACGGCGTTACAGATGAGCTCCTGCGTCACGGGGATGGACTTGTTCATGGACACACACAGGTCTGACAGGTAATCCAGAAACCTACAGGAGATAAGACACTCAACATTATTTTAAGAGCCTTCCTGAATGTCTTTAGAATGATGTTGAGCTGTATCAGAACAAGTAGAAGAGCACATACAGACTAGTATACAGACTAGTATACACACATGGACACTACGGGACCTACCTGGACCTACCTACACAACAGATATGAAGGGTGTTTTTTTTTTTTTTTTTTTATTCTTCTTATTATTATTATTAGTATCATCGTGGTATCAGAATCGCTACTGAGTATCGAGTCTATTTCTTAGTGTCAAAATTGAGTTGGAAATTTTAGTATCAGGACGAGATAAAATAATACAAAGTGAAAAATATGAATAAACAAGGGGAACAATACCCCTGTCTCATTTATACAGATAATCTAGAACTCTAGCTAAAACTCAGACTATTAACAAGGAAAATAACTTGAGCACAGAATCTTAAAAAGTAAAAATGGCAATTACTTTATTTTAGTCATAGTCATATAAATCTGAACCTACACAGGGTGCCCCAAAACATTTGACATAATTTCCCCCAGCCAATAATCTTGTTGAAATAACCTAAAATTTACACAGAATGTATAGAAACAGATTAAGATTTTATATTTAATGTTTTATTTTTGTTCTGTTTTCAGGCTGAGGAGTTAGCACATTTTGCATCTTGGAATCTGCTGCACACACTCACCCAAGACTGTGCAGCCTTCAATGCAAAATTTGGAAAAAACTGCACCAACTGGCAAACAAATTTGAACTTGGCACCAAAAATGTAAAGAAGAAGACTGATTATGCAGGACTAAAGGATCTGGTACACAAAATCGTCATTTGAGGAATCTGGGTTTCCAAACTTGTTCTTCTTACTTCTTGGGGCTTCGCAAGAGTTTTTCACAAACTTGCTCGACCTTCTTCTGATGTTGATGATGGTACCAGATCCTCCCTTATTAAAAGCTTTTATAAACTCATCATGGTGAATAATTAGAATGTTCTGAATGAATAAGGTAAGTGAGGAAGAACTTTGGACCTCTGCAAACTGTTTACAATGAACCAATTTGTTATTTGTGTTTTTAAGACAGTAAAAAAACCCGTCTTAAAAACATGGCGCCTTTAAAGAGAAAAACTCTTTCAGACCTGGGCTCGCGGTTCTTTCGGACCAGACTAACAAATGTGTCGATTTCCGCCGCGGTGATGTGTTTCTCCAGCAATTTGCGGTTGTTATGGAGCAGAGCCGTGATGGTATCTTCCGCAAGGACGTCATACCCGATCTGTTTCTGCATGAACCGGAACTGTTTGGCAATGTACTCCTGAAGAACACACGAACCACAGGATTCAGGTGTGAACAGAGACAAAGAAGAACAAACAAGTCTATCTCAAGATATCTAGGCTAATGTTAATGAATGCACCACCCACACCATCAAAACAGTGTGTGGATCAATACAAAACCCACTCTAACTCCTCTAGCTACACATCATAATTAAACAAACTGTTGATCTTATGTTATTAGGTTCTGTTTTCAGACTAAGGCTACGTTCAGACTGCAGGGCTTAATGCTCAATTCTAATTTTTTGTGTGAAATCCGATGTGTTTTTCACATTTCCAATTAAATGTGACTTGTATGTGATCTCCAGTGTGAACATTAAACACCCCAAAAGTGTCCCGCATGTGCACTGGAGATACGACGACGTCAACCACAGCGAGCGTGCTCTGTGTTTACGGAAGTTGTCCAAACATGGACGCGAGCATTGAGCACCTAGAGATTTTAAAGTTCCTCTCATACCAGAGCCAGAACATGTACAACTTACTTGTTTTAAGGAGGAGATTGAGAAGGAGAAGTACAAGGTTTTTGGCCGTGGTGTTTTGTGGGGCAGCGGCAGCGACATCCGTTGAAAGGAATATGTGAATGTGGAGACGTAGCCAAGAGTGGTGGGATCGCGATGTGCTTCATTTCAGTGACACGGAGTTCATTAACAATTTTCGTATGACAAGAAGAAAGTTTGTGTACATTTGTCGCTTGTTGATAAGGCGCATTCATCTGACTTACACATTATCTGTTCAGACTGAAGTCACATGTCAAAAGATCAGATATTGGATTTGGGTCACTTCAGACTGCAGTCTGAACGTAGCCTAAGAGTTTGTTTTTATACATGACAGTTTGTTCTGCTCCCTGCGCTCTTCCTCTCATGATGTTGCTGTGTCGTGTCGCTCAGCTGATTTAAACAGGTTTTGGTGCTGTCTTCCTACCAGTGAAGGCAGGATGACAGTGCCATTTACAGTCCCACTTGCTCAGAACAGTATGCTGAGAGTAGTGTGTGTGAGCAAAAAGCCCCTCGTCCCGGTTTGTAGTCCCATGGGCACGTTTCCGTATTTCGATTGCCTCTTTAAACCAGTAACGGTGTTTGTTTATATCAACACACCAGTGAAACCAAACATAAACTCAGGCAATTCCTCGTGCACCCAAATGAGAAAATAGAACTGGAGCATAAATGTAATATCATATATGAAATACCCTGCATGTCCTGCAATAAAACACACATCAAGGAAACAGGGAGGGTGTTCAGTACATGAAAAAAAGAACAGAACAGAAAGCGAGAAGGACATAGCGAAGGCAAAACACGAGCAACAAAACATAAAGCAGAACAGGAACAACTCAAATCGGCCATTTGTGACCAATATCAAAGAGAGAAGCACATTCTGGACTGTTACGGAGCAAACATCACTGGGACAGAGGAAAACAAACACCGTCGCTGGATTAAAGAGGCAATCGAAATACAGAAACGTGCCCATAGGACGATAAACCGAGACGAGGGGCTTTTTACTCTCACACACCTGGGTTACTGTCCTGAGGAAGTGGGACTGCAGATGGCGCTGTCGTCCTGCCTCCACTGGTAGGAAGACAGCACCAAAACCTGTTTAAATCATCTGACCAGACACATCACAGCAACATCACGAGACTCTGAGGAAGAGAGCTAGAAAGCAGTCCAAACTATTGAAAACAAACTCTTGGTCTCAAAAAAGAACCTAATGACATAAATTATCGAAAAACCAAATGAACCTGATTGGACTAAACTGTTGATCTTGAAAAAAAATCCACTACTGTATAATAAACATAATTTCCTATGGTTTCCTATGATACAAGTATAATACATGTCTATAATAAGTTGTTTATTTTTGTTTACTTCATCTTTAGTTTTAATGTCCCTGGGTCATTCACAGAGTCTGATTGCTCCAGGAAGGGCATCTGGCCTGAAATGAGTGTGACAGAGGTGCAGTACCTGGTTCTTCCTGTAGTCCTGCTGTGAGTGCCTGAGGACTCTGTAACATAATCTGCAGATGTGCCTGAAGGGAGCGTGTCTCTGGTCTGCGAGCTCCTCCAGCCTCAGCATGGGCCCGTCTCCACTGTCTGTGAATGGGGCCTGCAGCAGCTTAAAGATCTGAACACAGGAGAAGCATGGGGTTTAACATGATTTTTCCTGTTTTATTATATCCAGATGTCACTTTAATAACTACACCTTTAAGCCGGGCGTACACTGTGCAATTATTACCTGGTCCCTGAAGGGTTGACCAGGTTTTGTATTCACCCTGTGTGTCTGTTCGTGTGTCCACCCAATAATTCTGCCATTTATGGACTGATTGTCACCAAATTTGGTACATGGGTCAAGCCTCCATGCCCAAGGCCGCAAAAAAAGTTTGAAGATGATCTGAGGTCATTTGAAGTCACACGGGTCAATTGAAAGGTCACGCGGTTATAAAGGATCTGCAATTTTGGCAATTTCTGAAGCATCTGCGGACTAAAATATTCACCCAATCATCACACAAGTTGGCACACACATAACCGGGGTACACTGGATGTTACAGATTGAAACCGGTCAAGGTCACTTGAAGGTCACGGTAACCAACTTCAAATATGCGTCATAACTCCGCGAAGGATCGAGCTCGAGCAACAGGAGTGTCTCAAAATCTCAGAAAAATTATGATCTATTTATAATTCTATGCATTTGTATAGTAAAATGTTCATAGTTTTCCAGATAGTCACTTATTGTAACAGTTCCTTTCTCTTTCAGTGTAGCCGTTAAAATTCTAATTGGAACGAAAATAATTTCCATTTCTTGTTTTTCTGGTGATACACGACACACTGATCTACAGTCACACAACTAACATACACACAACTCATGAAAAATGACATTTTGGTTCCACACTAGTAAACACAGACATTCTCATGTGTGACCAATATCACACAAATGTTCATGGGCCTGTACACATACACACATTGTATTGTGGATATAATGATCATGTAATATGGGCTGGACTCATAAACTGCTTCTGTGCAGATTAGAGCCCGACCGATATGGATTTTGTTGTGGCCAATATGAAACTGATATAATGGGAGTTGGAGCTGCCGATAGGCGATATAATCGCCGATATATTTAGTGATGTAAAAATTCACTGTAAATGTTGAATTGTTTAAAAAAAACTTAGGTTTGGCTCTAGTGGATTCTAAATTGGGTTTATTAAGGCAACATTTATTGTTATTCTGACTCTTTACGTCATATTTACATACAGTAGATTGGCCTAATGGCATTTTTGCATCACATTCTAGCTACTAGTGATGGGTATTTCAGTTTTTTTTTTTTGAGAACTGGCTCTTTTGGCTCGGCTCACTAAAGCAGCTGGCTCTGTCATCTCCTAAACGAATCTTGAGATTGTTTTGCTGCAAGCAGGACTAAACCAAAACTGAACCAGGACTGAAAAAGGACTAAACCAGGACTAAAACAGATTTAAACCATGTGTAAAACAGGACTAAACCAGAACTGAACCAGGACTGAGTGTCGGGACTCGGTCTCTCCCTCACTCGAGCCCAAGATTAGTCCTGGTTTATTCATTTTATGCTGAACTGCAGCCAAATATGCACTTTTTTTTTTTTTTTTTTTTTTTTTATCCTATGCACACGCAGATTTCTGAAAGTTTTGTTTTCAGCCGCTGCTGCTGTCAAACTACGGGTCTACAAGCGGCTTGAAGAGAAAAAGTGAGAAAAAGAGAAAACACGGCTCCCAATAAGAAACAGTGCTCCCGTTGTTCGCTTCAAAGAACCGGATCTAAGAGCCGCTTCGATCGTGACCGACCCATAACTCCTAGCTAGTAAACTACCGCTATTAGCCTTTAGCCGTAAAAATGTGCGCGCCGCGGTAAAATTAATTATATGCATACACGTGGATCATTCACACACGTCTATTCACAGCTCATTTACATATCAATGCTGGTCCAGTAGCAAATATATGGCCAATATAGTCACTTTACAATAGACCAATAGAAAACAGCCTGTTTATGTGCGGGAGCTACAGCAGCTAATCGCTAACAACAAACAGCCAAAACTAGCTTCAATGTCGATGTATTTCCAACACTCACCGCTCACACAGGCTCCTCCTCACATCACAAGTCTGCACTAATAAAAGTCCTTTTAATCCAGACTCAAACCGATTGTCGTAAAAATAATATAATCTCAGTGTTGCGCACCACTGCGGGCGTAAACAAACACACGTGAATGAAGTGACGTGACTCTGGGGGTGTGTTCAGGGACAGTACGGACACAGACAAATTACACCGCAGATAAAAACTGATGCGGAGCCACATATTAGGACATTTATCTGTCTGTAAATTGGATTAAATGAACATAATGTAGAGAGTCTAAGCTTTATGAGGTATAACATGCCCACGTGAAATATTGGCCCATATCAGCAAGCATATCGGCCGATAGCCGATATGTCTCCAGGTGCCCATATCGGCCAATAATATCGGCCAGCCGATATATCGGTCGGGCTCTAGTGCTGATGAACTGACCCCACTGGTGCCTCATGTGGACCAGGTTGATATCACTGATTGCGCTTGTTGACTACTGTTTTTGGGATCCGGCCGGGTTTTCACTTAATCGTGTGTATGGAGTAAGAAAGCTGTCAAAAATATTTGTGCGCGTAAAATAGAAATCTGTGCGTATTTGGGAAATCCGTGCATATTTGGCTGTAGTTGCGCATAAAATAAATATTTGTAAACTCTCAAATGAGTCCAGTCGTACATAAATGACTCCAGTCGTACATAAAATATATTGTGTGTATTTTATCCATCAGAATACGAATTGAAAAATTACGACGTCATGAATTACAATCACGAAATGAAAATTTACGATTACGCTTTCATCAGTACGAATACGAATTCACAGACGGAACTTTACTGTCAAAAATACGTCATCACTTCACAGACATTATCCATCGAGCAGAAGAAACATCGATCAAGATCAAGACTGCGCAGCTCAAGTTTGTAGCAGAGGGTAAAAACAGAGTAATAGCACAAGAAGCTACAACAGCGACCAACAAGTGGGTTAATTAAAATCTATTGTAAAAATGTCTTGAATTCGGGAACCGAACGCTGCTGTATAATATTGTGTAGAAACACCTCCTTTGAACGGGAAATTGCACCTATATGTTAGATAACATAGTTTTAGCCAGTTGGCTAACATCCGACGTAACGTTATCCCAGGGCTAATTAACAAATATCAGGTTCTCTGTATGTTTAGATTAAAACATTCACGGCTACAGCCACAGCGAGCATCAGTCAGTCTTCACTTCAGCTGCATTTCAGACAATGGGTTATACATGAGTTATAATGGGTTAAAATTAGCAAATCCATCCACGTTACAGTGACGTTAAACTTACCGGTAAATACTGTAAACATACCAAGGTGTTGCCTGTAAACACGAACATTAATTGTTGCTGGAAGCTGCATTAAACTGTAATGTGTAACATTTCATTGGCTGTGACGTCGTAACCAGGACAGTTTGGTAGTGTTTGGCGTAAACTGGGACATTTCAGCGTCCCGAGGAACTTTTGGTGGCATTTCATGCAAGAAATGCTGCTGAAGTGAAGACTGACTGATGCTCGCTGTGGCTGTAGTCGTGAATGTTTTAATCTAAACATACAGAGAACCTGATATTTGCTAATTAGCCCTGGGATAACTTTTACGTCGGATGTTAGCCAACTGGCTACCACTATGTTATCTAACATATAGGTGCAATTTCCCGTGTAAAGGAGGTGTTTCTACACAATATTATACAGCAGTGTTCGGTTCCCGAATTCAAAACATTTTTACAATAGATTTTAATTAACCCACTTGTTGGTCGCTGTTGTAGCTTCTTGTGCTATTACTCTGTTTTTACCCTCTGCTACAAACTTGAGCTGCACAGTCTTGATCTTGATCGATGTTTCTTCTGCTCGATGGATAATGTCTGTGAAGTGATGACGTATTTTTGACAGTAAAGTTCCGTCTGTGAATTCGTATTCGTACTGATGAAAGCGTAATCATAAATTTTCATTTCGTGATTGTAATTCATGACGTCGTAATTTTTCAATTCGTATTCTGATGGATAAAATACACACAATATATTTTATGTAAGACTGGAGTCATTTGAGAGTTTACAAATATTTATTTTATGCGCAACTACAGCCAAATATGCACGGATTTCCCAAATACGCACGGATTTCTATTTTACGCGCACAAATATTTTTGACAGCTTTCTTAGTCCATACGTGTGTGATGTTTTGTGTAGTTTACATGGGTAACGAGAACCAATTAATACCTCACAACTAGCTTCCAATCAGCAATCGAAGGTCGCAAGAATATCAAACCTGTTTGAAATCCAGTCGCCTCTCGCGAGGATTCACAGTTCGTGTAATGTGAGTACATGAATTGTGAGCTGTGAACTTTTAATCTCTGTGATTTGGTCATACAGCTTGAGCTGGGGCTGAGTGAAATGATTGAAAATATTGCACAGTGTACATCCAGCATTAGTAGCCGTAACAAAGCATGAATAAGTAGTTACTAAGCCTCAATCATTGAAAAAATAAATAAATAAAAAAAGAATTATTAAGTCTTTGTTCATGCTTTATTAAGGCTATTAGAAGTGGGACTAAACACAAAGACGGGAGGAGGGGCGGGGTCTGGATATATAAGGAATAAATAAACAACAAAAATAGCATCCAGAAAACAAACAAAAACACACAATGATGCAAACAATTCAATTAATTATAATAAATAAGTGAATAAAATAGAATCAAAATAAACAGGAATAAAATCAAGCTAAAACCAGTTAAAGGAAGGGCAACCGATAAAAATGAGTTTTAAGAAGTGATTTAAAAGATGATAGTGATGGTGTCAGCGGGTTGTTCCAAAGCCGAGGCGTCAGGACTGAAAAGGCTCCATCACCTTCGTCCCGAGCCTGGACTTTGGAACAGTCACAGGGACCTGCCTGAGGATCTGGGGGAGGTTCGGACGGGGTTAAAAGTTCTGAAAGTTCTAGTTCTTTAGGGTTTTTTGTCTCTTCCGGCACCTACTTTTTATCTAGTGTGTTTTTTATTGTTATGTTATATATGTAAACAAATAAATAAATAAATAAATAACATGTATCTCGGTGCAAGACCTAAACAAGCTTCAAAACTGATCAGTAAAATCTTAAAATCAATTCTAACACCTGGCTATAATTAGGGCAGTTCTGTTTAATGTCACATAATACTTGAAGCTGCAGTGGCCACTGAAGGCAGGACTCACTTACATTTGGACGTTTTTGACTAGAAAGCTACAAATTTTGCACTAAAGTTGCCAAAAATGGCTATGAACAGTAATGCTATTCAAAATTTTTACTGTATTTTTCAGACTATAAGTTGCACTTTTTTCATGGTTTCGGTGTTTCCTGCAACTTTTACACTGGTGCAACTTATATATTAAAATTTTTACACTGACACCCACGAGAGGCTCTAGTCTTGTGTGTCAGTATCTAGTACTACTATTACTCCTGTACCGCTGTCACTTCGCACTCTATTGCCCATGTCTCCTGTAGAAAACGCCGCTGTCAAATAGTGAAATATTCAGCTGAAAACGGTAATTGAGTATCAGAAAGAAAGTTTGGAGTGAGTGAGAAACTTGTGATTGAGTGGTGGAAAGTGGGAATGGAGAACACAGCTTCATGGCAACCGGGAGGGTGCGCCATGAAATTTTCCTGGAAGTCACTGGATGAATCGGCAAAGTCTGAACTTCAATGACGGTCGAACCCATCCTGTCGGGATTCAGAAAGGCCGGAATAATTCTAACTGGAACTGATGCTGAGTCTGACGACAGCTACACAGAAGAGGAAGTGGCGCTCCTTTTACCTCATGGATGTATGGTTTATCTCCGGAGGTCACACAGAAATGACACCGAGGATGAAAAATTCTATGGATTTAGTGATTTGGAGTGAGATTGTGAGTTTGGTAAACTTATGTTCTGTTGTTTATGCTCTAATTATCTGAATAACTGTTAATATGTTACGTTAACATATTAACGTCTGTTCAGTCTGATGGTCTCTGCTCTATTGTTATTACTAGAATTTGACTTTTAAGATGAAATGTCGCTTCCTGGTCTCTGATTTTATAAAACACATTTCCCCAAAAAGTGCAACTTATATTTTTTTCGTCTTCACTGCGCATTTTTTGGCTGGTTTGAATTATATTCCAGAGCAACTTATAGTCAGAAAAATACAATAATTGAAATGTTTAAAGGGTTTAACCTTTTAAATGGTCAGTTAACATTATATTATTATCATGTTGCTTTTCTTGCTTCACGCCTCACTTCTGACACTAGTCCTGGTGTTAAATTTGCAGCAAAAATGAAAGCCAAAAACGTCAATGTAAAGATGCCCAAGATTTTCAAACGAAACAACAAGCTAAAGCATAAATCCTTAAAGCTTTACCTGTTTGAGGATATTCTGCTCCCTCATGAGCTTCTGTCTCTCTCTGTTGGGTTTGTTGACCATAATTTCTAAAACATCTTGTCCGTTGTTGGGAATGTCCACCACAAAAATCACCAAGTCCTCCAGGAGTTTAGTAACTGCTCTGGTGAAGAAATGGAACAAACACAAACATGAGCATTAGCATGTCATGATAACAGGTACTCACTGTGTGTCCACGCTGTTACTCTGTTACAACCATCAATGACACTCAACTATGACTCACATACAGGAGAGTCATGGATTTTTTTGTCTTGAAAATAAAATCAAATAAAAAACCAAGGATAACATCAAAGTCAACTGTCTTTCCTATTCAATAAAAAATGTAAAGTAAGATATTAACAGTCCCAGTTTTGAGCATGTGTCCCTTGTCCCGGCAGATTTATACAATACATTTATACAAATCAGTGGTTTGTCCCAGTTTTATACAAGAAATGTCCCAGGTGTCCCTATTTTTGACCATTCTGATCTAAACCAGGACTAAACCAGGTCTAAACCAGCACTAAACCAGGACTAAACTATGGCTCAACAGGACTACTTCAAGTCTAAACCAGGACTAAGCCAAGACTATTTCTGGTCTATTTCACGTCTATTTCACGTCTAAACCAGATCTAAACCAGGTCTAAACCAGGACTAAACCAGGTCTAAACCAGGACTAAACTATGGCTCAACAGGACTACTTCAGGTCTAAACCAGGACTAAGCCAAGACTATTTCTGGTCTATTCCATGTCTAAACTAGATGTGAACTATGTGACTATGTGTTAACTATGTGATATTACGTCATTATTTTTGCTTCATTATACACACATTACACACATTAAGCAGTAAAACAAAAACAAAAACTCTACCTCCTCTCATTCTGTGTAATCGTTCCCTTCTCCAGTTTTCCAGCGATGGAGGCGAGAACTTTACTCGCGTCGTTTGCAAAGTCCAAGTCTCGGACTTCAGCCGGAGACACGGGGACAATGGCAAACGCCTCTTTGTCCTCCTTCTGCGCAGACGTACCGATCTGCACATAGCAAAACACAAAATAAAACAATGAAATACCTAACTTTTAATACTTAAAATGCAGATTTGTTGGCCTAGTTTATGGTTAATGTCTCTGTAATTCCATACCTATCCATATCAAACAAAAACTGACACAAAGTTTAAGGTCTACTCTGGGTTAAAATAAGTTCACCTTATTTGTGCTGACAAAGAAGCAGCCATTGATAAATGTGATAAATAAAGAATAAAGTAAAGTAGAGGTGCACTCACTCGGAGCATGACGGGCTTCTCCTCCTCTTTGTCGATGGGCTGGTTTGTGCTGTGGACCCACGTGTTTGTGCACAAGTGTCTGAGACGAACGTAGGAATTTCTGAAAAAGACATACAAAATCAATCATAAAACACATTTCACTTTATGTTTAAAAAGATTACAATAGGATATACAGGGTGTTCCAAAAAAATTGATATCATTTCGCAGGTCAACTGAATCTGCTCACACACACTCACCCAAGACTGTGCAGCTTCAATGCAACATTTGGAAAAACTTCACCAACTGGCAGTGTTGGGAAGGTTACTTTTAAAACGTATTCCCCTACAAATGACAGATTACATACCCCAAAATGTAGTTTGTAACGTAATCCATTAAATTACTTAAAGTGAGTAACGTAATCTGAATACTTTGGATTACTTGATATTGTCATGCTTTTTAAAACGACATGAATGTACCAACCACATCCTGAAAATATATGTTTGTTCTCTTCAAATTGTCTGTTGAGCCCAAGTCTCTTGGTCTTTTGCTCCTGGTTTACTCCTGGTTTAGTCAAGTTTAGTCCTGGTTTAGCCCTGATTTAGTCCTGGTTTAGCCCAAAATGTGAAAAAAAGAAAATACCTCTATGTAATCCATTTATTTCAACAAAGTAACTGTAATCCAATTACCACTCATTGAAACAGTAACTGTAACCGAATACAGTTACTCATAATTTGTACTCTGATTACGTAACGCCGGTACATGGAATCTGTTACTCCCCAACACTGCCAACTGGCAAACAAATTTGAACTTGGTATCAAAAATGTAAATAGCAAGGCTGTTTATGCAGGACTAAAGGGTCTAGTACCATCATCAACATCAGAAGGTCAAGCAAGTTCGTCAAAAACTCTTGCAAAGCCCCAAGAAGTTCGTATGTTTGGAAACCCAGATTCCTTGAATGACTGTTAGGTCTACCAGATCCTTTAGTTCTGTAGTTTGTAGTTTGTAGTTTACATTTTTGGTACTAAGTCCAACTTAGTTTGCCAGTTGTTGAAGTTTTTACAAATATTGCATTGAAGCTGCACAGTCTTAGGTGAGTGTGTGCAGCAGATTCCAAGACACAAAATGACTTCTCTTTGGGAGTGAACGGCTCAACCTGAAAACAGAACAAAAACGAGAGCAATCAGAGATATCAACCTGGTCCACATGAGGCATGGTGGGTCAGTTCATCACCACAGAAGCAGTTTATGAGGAGTCCAGCCCATATTACATGATCATTATATCCACAATACAATGTGTGTATGTGTACAGGCCCATGAACATTTGTGTGATATTGGTCACACATGAGAATGTCTGTGTTTACTAGTTTGTAACCAAAATGTCATTTTTCATGAGTTGTGTGTATGTTAGTTGTGTGACTGTAGATCATTGTGTTGTGTATTACCAAAAAAACAAGAAATGGAAATTAATTTTGTTCCAATTAGAATTTTAACAGCTACACTGAAAGAGAAAGGAACTGTGATTATCTGAAAAAACTATTCATATTTGACAATACAAATGCATAGAATTATGAATAGATAAAATCTTTTTTGAGATTTTGACACACTCCTGTTGTTCGTGCTCGATCCTTCGTGGAGTTATGACCAAAAACGCATATCTGACCTTGGTTACCATGACTTTCAAGTGACCTTGACCCGTTTCAACCTGTAACATCCAGTGTACCCCAGTTATGTGTGTGCCAACTTGTGTGATGATTGGGTGAATATTTTAGGACGCAGATGGTTCAGAAATTGTCGAAATTGCCGATCCTTTATAATGGTGTGACCTTTCAATTGACCCGTGTGACTTCAAATGACCTCGGATTGTCACCAAACTTTTTTTGAGGCAATTTTGGTGACAATCCATAAATGGCGGAATTATGGCAGGTGGAGAGACACACACACACCGGGTGAATACAAAACTTGGTCAACCCTTCGGGGACCATGTAATAAAAACATTAAATATAAAACTGATCTGTTTCTATACATACTGTGAAAATTTGAGGTTATTTCAACAAGAACTGCCCAAATTATTGTCCTACACAATGATGTCAGATTTTTGGGAACACCCTGTATAATACTGATTATATAGGCAAGGCAAGGCAAGGCAAGTTTATTTGTATAGCACAATTCGTACACAAAGTAATTCAAAGTGCTTTACAGAATAAGAAATACATTAAAATCATAATAAAAACAAATCGAAACATAAATAATCATGAAGATTAAAATTAAAAAGAGAGACATAAATTGGAGAGAAGAGTGCGGAATGAAAACCTTTCAGTTATATGCACAGTTAAACAGAAATGTTTTGAGCCTGGATTTAAACAGCATCACAGAAGAGTCTGTCTCACATGTTCAGGAAGACTGTTCCAGGTTTTAGCTGCATGAACCTGAAACGCTGACTCCCCTTGTTTAGTCCTGACTCTGGGCACCAGCAGGAGGCCGGTCCCTGAGGTCCTCAGAGTGCGAGATGGTTCATATGACACTAACATGTCACAGATGGACTTTGGTGCTCGGCCATGGAGAGACTTGTACACAAGCAGAGCTGTTTTAAAGTCTATTCTCTGAGGCACAGGAGCCAGTGCAGAGACCTGAGCACAGGACTTATGTGCTCGTACTTCCTAGTTCGAGTAAGGACCCGAGCTGCAGCGTTCTGGATGTTCTGCAGCGTCTCACAGCTCGTTTGGAGAGACCAGTGAGCAGAACATTACAGTAGTCTAACCTACTGGAGACAAACGCATGGATAAGTTTCTCCAAGTCTGCTTTAGACAGTAAACCTTTGATTTTTGCTATGTTTTTTAGATGGTAAAAGGCTGCAGATGTTATTGATTTGATGTGGCTGTTAAAGTTCAAGTCTGAGTCCATTATTACCCCTAGATTTCTTGCCTGATTTGAAGGTTTTAGAGAGAGAGACTGGAGGTGACTGCTGACACTGTCCCTTTGTTTCTGTGAACACTGATCCTCTCTCACACTCCCTCATAAACCCGGCTTCTAACTTTGTGATTGCTCGGTTAACCACCATCTAAAGACTGAACAATGACAGAGCAGCAGCGAGGAAACAAAACAAACACGGAAACGCCCACAGTCATACTTCAGCCGATTTTAGCACAAATTCTGATGTTTTTGTTTGTGAAAAACGTGAAGAGGGAAGAACTTATGATTTTCCCCCATTTGTATTTAACAAAAGTTTGATTTTCAGCTTGTCCCACTGTTGTGACACTCCGATAATCAGTTTGAGGATTGTTTTGTTTGGATTGTAAGAACGTTCTGATCATTATTTCCTGATGCTTTCAGTGAGTTATTCCAGAGTAATCCATGTGTAGAATTCACATACAATGAGATACAATTTCCACAAGACAAGATGAGACATGAGGTAAGATGAAATTTATGACATTATTTGTTATAAATACATTGTGTGACCCAGTTCCAAATTTTTGTCTCACCATTTTTTACTGTATTTCATATTTCTGCTGTCATTGTAGCTTTGCGTTTTGGGACTACAGCTTCTCAAAAATTGTAACTCGCCGGTGCTTAAATCAATTTTTTATCCAATCTAAATGTAAAAAACATGGGGGAAAAAAACTCATAAGATCATTTTCAGCATGTGTGCACAGTCTTGTGTCAATTTTGTCTCACAAGATTTTGTGGCGTGAGATCTTGTCCCATTCCCACTAAATTATGATCTAATTGTAACTGCTAAACAAACTGCGTTAAATATTTTCCCCCAGATTCCCACAATTATTCACCAATCATCATCATCATCATCAATAATGTTCGCCTCATCCCTGTGTAGATTTGTAACTCCTGACTCATGGTGAAGGAGGAGCTGCTCATCAGCTCCATGTTGTAAACACTCATATTAAATGTTCCATCGTGCATCTTGGCCCACCCACACACGGCGCTTCAGTAAAACTCCCGAGTATATCTTTATCTTTAGACTCTCAAAGGTCAAGAGCAAATCAGGACACAGAGCTCCTCATCTCCTTCCAAGGAACTGCATCTCTTTCCAAGGAAATGCATCCAGGGCCAGTAAAGCCAGAATAATTCTATAGAACTCGGGATGGGACGTGAGAAACAACACTGTTATCCATAGAGATACATGCCCCAAAACTACGTAAACATGTCTGGGTCACTACTGGTGAATACATTTATCACACTATAATGTCAGAATACTTTTGAATGAACGCTAAGTTTATTATTTATCATCTCAAAATATACTATGACTTGCAGCTCACTCATTTGTGTGCATCTGTTTTAAATCTCTCCACAACTAAATTAACGTGTCATTTAGTTAAGTAAGACTTATTATACTTTTCACCAGGTATTGAGTATTACTTATGTCAGCATTTTACAAGTTGCTCATTGTAAACCTCAGTGATGATCTAAAAAATTGCTTGATATAAACTGGTCCACTGACTCCCGGATCAAAACTGCAGAAATGAGCCATAGCAAGCAGCAGATATTGCTTTTATTTACTTTTTAAAAACATTGTTTTTGTTTTTATCCATAGGTTTATGGCTAGAAGTTAGATTTTTGCAGTGGTGGGGCATCAGGACCTTCTCTGCTGGCCTAAAAAAATATCTGAATCACAGACTGATGTTAATTATATTATTATTAAATAATTCCAAATGGTCTGTCAGCTTCCTTTCAGAGTTTTTCTGATGCTTGTGCTGCTTCCACACATGCATTTTCTTATTAAAGCATTTAACCAATCACATTTCAACCATCACTTGTTGTTAGGCAGAGTCAAAGTCAAAGAAGTGTGTCTGAGGCCTTCACAATCTATTCTGCAGGCCCTCAAACACTAAATAAATGTCCATGAAACTGTTGCTTCAACCAATCAGATTTTGAGTTGGTATCACCAGGACCTTTAGCAGACGACATCACCGGATTCAGACCCACTGACTGGACAGAGAGTGAACCAGCCAAAGCAGCAAACTGCATCTGTAGCAGAACCAGGTCTAAGCCAGGTCTAAACCAGGTCTAAACCAGGTCTAAACCAGGTCTAAACCTGGTCTAAACCAGGTCTAAACCAGGACTAATCTTGGACTTGAGAGAGCGAGAGAGAGAACCCCCAAAACAACAGAGCAGGGTGTCCGCAAAGCTGCACTGAGCCCTGTGCGGTCGCGGAGCCCCATACAGCGTGGAGTTGAGCCCTGTGCGAGATGCTTTTATAACCATAAAATAGTTCTTGAGGAGTGGATTGTTTCAGACGCAGCACTACTGAAGGCCTAAGTGTGAAATGCACGCTCCGCCACTGGGTTTTTGTTAAATAATTGCAAGTAAGTACAGAGAAGTGGTTAGAGATGGGGGAAGGTGAAAACAGACATTTTCTGAGCATTCAAGCTTCCATTGCAGTCCAGGATTACACAAACATGCATGAATGAATCAAAATACAACTGTGAGTAAGCTAAAACACTACTATAACCTGGTGGAAATAATATGTCCCCTTTAAATTTAGTTACTCTCCCCTCAAGGAGATATAAAGCAGTGAAGTTCCACAATGCACCTTTATAAAAGCATGTTACCTGGGCACCATAGAGTCCCCTCCCCTCAGGGTGGTGGGGTCCAGTTCAAAGATGGAGGAGATGTCGTTTCCGTCGGGCACAGACACCAGAGTGTACATCACTTTGTCCTGAGCGTTTCTCAGACGAGCTCGAAGCGCCTCCTGCTCCGAGTCCAACTACAACAAAACAAATATGTCACATGCCCTAGAGATGGAAACAATACAATATGTTTTATTTCAGATTACATTTACAGGTTAGATTTGTGGAGAGGTGAGCCCCTATTTTAGAGAGTAATGGGGATCCTCAAATAAACAAATAAAAAAAATGCATGTTTTCAATGTAATCTGTTAGCACTAAAAACTAAAACGTAACTCAATATATGCAGTAACTTTAATATCATACTTTGTAGCTTTTTATGTTACGTATGCACCGTATTATGCAATGTATGTCAATATAACATGATGCAAGGCAATATAACAAATCCAGAAGATATAAAAATGAAGTCCAAAATGTAATATTTCTTTTTAAGTTTCAAACTACTCCTAAAATAATGACCTTCAGTTTGTACCATGGCTCACTGAGTCTCTTACAATTCGCCGACTGCTATAACGTTAATTTAATAAGGCAGTAAAAGTCACAGTGTAATGTACAGGATGAAGCACGTCACTGAATAATCCAATCGAACGTCTAAAGTGGCATTTGGCATGAACTAAATGTCAGACTAAATTAAGTTACATCGCAGTAAAGAACCATTAAGAAACAGGATATAGAGACAGTTTTTTAGAGCAAAGCAACCAACCTACACACACTGTATTTAGGAGACACACAGATTCACAAGGTATTGCTGCCATCTACTGGTCATGGAGGTACAACTGCATCAAATATCAACACATCCAAATGAAGCTAAATGACTGTTTTATTATTGAAGTAAATTATAACATGTGAGGTATTTTTTCTAATCTGCCAAAACATGACTAAACATGTTTATTCTGGTGTATTTGGTTCTGAAAAGGTAAATGTATACATTAAAGGTGCAATGCGTAACATTTCTGGTGGGGGGGTAAACAGTATTTTTCTCCATGGTGATGTTATTGCTTTGCCCGGATTGTTCCACAGTTCAGCATTAAACATTTCTAACATTTCTCTGCTCATACCAAATCATACCTGTTTTTAGTGATAGATACAGTTAATGCCCTACTGTGGAACTTTACCAACAAAGCAATAACATCTCCATGGTGATATTCAGATCCAGAAAAGTTACACAGTGTATCTTTAATATAAACTATTTACACAGTACCTGTCAAAAGTTTGGACACTCTTTTTCACTTATGTTTCTTTTTTATTTCCATGATTATTTATATTCTAGATTCTCACCAAAGGCATCAAAATTATGAATGTGTGTATGGTATGTAGTAAACTAAATATTCACTCAAAACTTAACTGTTAAACACTTAAACCAGCCACCCTTTGCTTTGACCACTGCCTTGCGCTCTTGGCATTTCTTGACCCTGACATAAAAGCATATATGTTTCACACAGTATAAACCTTTAAACATGTATAAGATTTCAGTGTTTATGCATTAACTCACTGTGTAACTTCATTAAACAATAATCAAACAAATATATCACTTCAGTGTTTAATATGCACATGTGATGCGCTCAAGAAACTTCACCACTTAATACAGCCTTCACATGGCACAGCTGTGAAGTGAAAAACATTTCAGGAGACTTCATCAAGAAGCTCAAGGTCAAGGGTTTGCTGCTGTTGACAAAGCAAAGGGTGGATACTCAGAGGAATTTGAATATAACATCTAAAAACTATTTTGTTGATTAATTTAACTTTGCTACATAATTCCACATATCTTGCATCATTTATCTGACGTCTCACTCTGGGAAGAATACGAAGATGTGTCCAAAACCCTTTGGTATGTATTTATTTGTTGTAATCTATTGATTGTAACTGAGTGTCCCTTACAGAAGGACGAGACTCCAGACACTCCTCTTCATATTCTGGGTTTACCTGCAAAGGCACAGAACTTTCTTAGACACCATCCACCTGCACCAACACTACTACAACTACTGATACTTCTTCTACTAATCTACACAGTGCGTTACACTGTGTAGTACTGTAAGATCGTAGTATGTGTCAGACTGACCTCTGCAGCCAGGTAATGTCCAGTGGCCAAGTGTTTAAACCTAAAGAGACTGTTCCAGTATCCTGCTCCTCCTCGACACGGGTCGTGCTGCACCACCTAAAACCAATGAGACACGCCACACAAATCATCACACACTCAACATATATTATGCTCATTTCTGCTCATTAGTGATTCTTTGATACACACTGTTTAGAATTTTCATTATAAACCAGAACTGAAGAAGCAGCTTGGATGAGCTGCGAAACGTCTTCAACCAAACTAACTTTTGTCCAGTCAACAAACTGAATTTTTCTCCTCATTATAAACCAAAATATTGATCTAAAACATCTTAAAAATAGAAAACTACTGGGGCTGCAATAATGATTATTTTAGTAGTCGACTTGAAAAATGACATAACAATTTGTGACTTCAATGTGGAGAATGACAAAAAAGTCACAAATTGTCTTTTTTATGTAATAATGGCACAGTAATAAAAAGTCTGTATAGCCCACTTTGATCAAAATAGGATTATAATTATTTAAAGAGTCGACTAGTCACAATTATTCCAATTAGTTGTTGCTGCCTTCTAACTATCTCAGCTCACTCCATTTTTCATTGAACTGTGCTGAGTACAGAATAGACAGGTAATAAGAATAAAAGTGAAAAAAGCTAATCCTGTAGGTTTATATAGCACATTTAAAAACAGACAGTGTTGCCCAGCAGTGATTTTAAACTCTCCAGGGAAGTAGCAGTTCTGATGTGCAACGGGAGGTGTTCCACAGTTTAGGGCCTGCAACAGCAAAGGCTCTGTCTCCTTTAGTTTTGACTCTGGCCCTTGGGGAGTCTAAAAGCAGCTGATCCGATGACCTGAGTGTCCTGTCCGGAGTGAGTGAGACCCCTTGTTTACTATAAACCTCTTCAAACTGAAACTTCTTGTTTACATTTTTGTTTATATTTTAGTCTTTTCTCAAATGTTAATCCTCGTGGATGTGTAAAAGAGTGCACCATGAACTCTGATGTGAACGTGCGTCCCTTTTTCTCATCGTCATGCTGAACAGCTCAGATCTCTACAAACAGGTTCTGAAATGACTGGGACTCTTCTCTGAAATGTTAATGATTCTGGTGTGTTAAACAATAAAAACAACTGGATTACATAACTCATCAATCTAATCACAACTTATTTTTTGACCTTTAAACACAATGGAATCTAGGCACTCCAAAAAGTAAAAAATTGCATGAGGAAATATATAGTTAAAAGACCTTTGTTTAGATGGCCAAAGCCAACATGTTTCAACTAAACTGGTCTTCATCAGGGCTTTCGACCAAATTGGTCTTCATAACTAAGCCTTGATGAAGACCAGTATGGTTGAAACATGTTGGATTTGTCCATCTAAATAAAGGCCTTTTAACTATATATATTTCCTCATGTGACTTTTATGTCTTTGGGGTGCCTGGATTCCGTTGTGTTTAAAGTTTTGACCATTTTTTCAAGAGCACCCACTACTTGCTCCCACTGACTGGAACATCTGCAGCAAACAACCCCATTTTATTTTTTTCTGTTCAGATTATTTTTTAACAAGCCTTACCTCAATCTCCCACAATGCCTTGCTGCTGGTGGCAGAGGTGGCAGACTGGCGTCCCGTGGTGCGCAGAAACACGTACTGTTTTTTGCGGTGGTCGTCACATGTGAGGAACTTCTCCTGCTCCGCGTGGAACAAGCGAACCACATCACCCTGAACAAGGACAAAGCACTTACACATTACACACAATATGACGTAAAGAGGGAGCATTACACTTCTCTGGGGTATTCACTTCTAATATTTTTCATGTTTAGATCACCAGGTTAGCTTTTATGGTTTTGAAAATGCTATATTCGCCGAAAACAATGCATTAACATGTTAAATAGAGTCATTAATACAAGACTTAGACTATTTCAATATAAATGGTTTTATATAACTCCTGAAATACTCCACCATGTCTCCAGCAATATTCCTGACACTTGTACTAAATGCGGTAATCATAAAGGAACTCTTATACACTGTCTTTGGGAATGCTCGGCAATTCAAATATTCTGGAAAGAGGTTATACAATGTTTGACAGAAATATTCAGTGTAAAGATTCCTATGTGTGCAAAACTGTGTATATTAGGAATATATCCAGAAGGTATACTACAGACAAAAATTACTGTTGTTATTGTCGTTGTTATTATTATTATATAATTTTTTTTAACCTATTTTACTTTATTTTATTTTTTAATAAATTAATTTATATTTTATTCTTATTTATCTATTCATTTATTTATTTATTTTTTTCTACCCAATTTTCTTTTTTTTAAAGTACATATGGTCAAATAAATCTCAGACTTACCTGCGACGGATAAATTGTATTGTGCAAATATTGTTTAGTGAATATATGAATGTGTATGTGTGTATGAGTGTGTGAGTGTGTGAATTGGCTTTTTATTATTATTATTATTATTATTTTCTTTTTTTTTTTTTTTTGAATATATGTTGACCTGTATTAACAACGTGGTCAAATTGTTCATGTGAACATTTTTTGTCTGAAAATTTATAAAAATATTGGAAAAAATAAATAAATAAAAAATAGATGGTCACTCCCCCTTTAGAGCACCATCACAACACTTCACATCAGATTTGTGAAGTTGTAGTGTATTATTTTGTATTATGCTTTTGTGAACTGGAGACATTTGTCACAGTGAGGGACAGGAGGACACTGGACAAACAGAATCTTACAGCTAACAGTAAGGAGGGTTCGAATAGGGCCCGGGAGAGATCTCTAAATCACTCAAACATGCTTAGATGACATATTAAACTTCTCAGGGTTTGTTTTCGATGAGGGAACAACAACAACATTAAAACATGGCAGAAAATTCCAAAAAGTACATTTCTCATAATGCCCCTTTTGAACTACAGTTGGTCCAAGATCAAAAAAAATAAATTGGTGGCACTGAGATATTTTAGCTGGAGTTTCCCGGTGCTGTCCAGGGACTAAAACCATTTGATTTGAGCTGAGAAAATGAAAATAATTGAAATTTATTTTGGCTGATACAGATAAAGACAACTGAGATTTGGCTCATAAAACTAAATCTAGACAGAAAGTTGGGTGAAGTTTGTATATATGTAGTAATGTTGTAATCCTGTGCACTATTTTATCAATTAACTCCTAAAATAAATAATAATAAATAATAGAGCCTTTAATCGTCCCATAGTGGGCAAATTTTGGTGCTGTAAGCAAAAAGTACAACAGTAGTAGTGTTAGTATCAAGTTATGGTGTAAAAACATACTCCACACTATTACACTAATTATCAACATTTTGACTCAGACTACTGTATTTTTCAGATTATAAGTGGCACTTTTTTTCATGGTTTGGGTGTTTCCTGCGACTTATACTTCGGTACGACTTATATAATAAAATGTTCACAGTGAAGCATGGAGAGGCTCTAGTCTTGTGTGTGAGTATCTGCTGCTCCTGTTCCTCCTGTACCACTGTCACTTCACTCTACTGCACATGTCTCCTGCAGAAAGAGCCTCTGTCCTGTCTGTATCATGTCAGTCGATAGCACCATTACTTCTGTATCAGTTTAAACAAACTTATAACGACGACTGAGAAGACTGAACACAAATGCCCTCAAAAATAAAATCAGATTTTGCAGATTACAAGCTGCAAGTCATGAAATCTGCAGCTGAAATCGATAATCGTTTGGAGTGAGCGAGAAACTTGTGACACCCGGAGGATGCACCATGAAACTTTCTTGAAGTCACTGGATGGATGGACAAAGCCTGGACTTCTGAAACCATCCTGTCGAGATTCAGAAAGACCCGAATAATTCTAACTGGAATTGATGCTGAGTCTGACGACAGCGACACAGAAGAGGAAGCAACGCTCTGTTTACCTCCGGAGGTCAAGGCTCAGAAGTGCTCAGAAGTGACACCGAGGATGAATTGAATGGATTTAGTGATTTGGAGTGAGATGGAGAGTTTGGTAATATGTTACATTAACAGTCTGTTGTTCTCTGTTCTATTGTTATTACTAGAACTTTTCTTTCATGGTGAAATGTTGGTTCCTGGTCTCTGATTTTATAAAATAAATTTCCACCAAAAAATGTGACTTTTAGTCCAGTGTGACTTATATTTATTTTTCCTCTCCATTATGCATTTTTTGGCTGGTATAGATATAGTTTGAACAAATTAGATGCATAATTGTATAATAATATATAATATGAATAAAATAATTAATAATGATAATGATAAAATAAAAACAATGTACACAATCTTAGTAGAGTAAAAAGTATAACGTTACAAATGATACACTGTTTGAAATACAGACCCCTTTCAGTATGATTTCCTGGTTGTCGCTCCATTTCATGAACAGAACGATCTTCCAGCTCGTGTTACAGTTCACAGAGTTCACCTGAGAAAAACAAAAGTGAATGTTTGTACCATAGTTTTAATATATTTGACATATTTTGCATGATTCTAGTTTCTGTCAGACCTCGTTACAGCCCGGGTTGTCGACGAGCTGATGGGAGCTGGCGTGGAGCGGCTGTCCGGCATTCACAGGATTCAGAACCACTTTGTCTCCGATCACGACCTGCAAAAAATACAGAAACAAGAGCAAGTTAGTTGACTGAGGAAAAAATAGAAGCACAGAGGATCCAATAGGTTTTTTGTGTTTGTTTAAAGGTACATTATGTAACTTTTCTGTTTGGGCTGCACCACCTGCTTGTTTCCATGGAGATGTTGTCGATTTGCCTGGATGTAACACTGTATGACATTGCATTCATTAAAAACCAGGCCTTTTTTATTGTGAGTAAGCTCGCCTCTCCACAAATGTAACTTGTAACTTGGCCTGGTGGAGTGTCATAATGCCATACTGTGGAACATTTCAGGAATAAGAAGTTTTCAGATTCCAGATAATAATGTCATACTGTCAGATGGAGGGCAGTAGTCACATTTCCCTGCTGATTACAGTGTACATAAAATATCCAAAAGATAAACGCACAAATGTTGACTGTGATGTTTCCTGTTAGTGACTAGAGCCTTTCTCCTCTTGTATTACAACAAAATCTGCAATATCCATTTCAGCTGTCTCACATCTGTATTAAATATCATTGGCCAATACAATGTTGTGGTGTCGTCTGAAACACAGAAATAACATCCCCATGGAGACGAGACGGCGTAATCCCTCATTTGTCCTGGAGTGCTTCAAATGTAGAGAAAGTTTCAACAGTAGTTTCAACTCTGTTTTTGCGATCAGGACGTTTCAGCTCTATCCAGAAGACATTTTACATTTGATGATACTGACTTAAGGCACTAGGGCTTCTCTTGGCTCTGAGTAATAAGGCTACACTTCAGACTGCAGGGCTTAATGCTCAATTCGGATTTTTTTGTGAAATCCGATGTTTTTGCGAGGTCGTTCACATTTCCAATTAAATGTGACTTGTATGTGATCTCCAGTGTGAACATTAAATGGCCCAAAAGTGTCCCACATGTGCACTGGAGACACGATGACGTCAACCGCAGCGAGCGTGCTCTGTGTTTACGGAAGTTGTCCAAACATGGTCGCGAGCATTGAGCACCTGGAGATTTTAAAGTTCCTCTCGTACCGGAGCCAGAACATGAACAACTTACTTGTTTTAAGGAGGAGATTGAGAAGGAGAAGGACGAGGTTTTTGGCCGTGGCGTTTTGTGGGACAGTCTGTTGAAAAGAACGTGTGGATGCGGAGACGTAGCCAAGAGTGGTGGGATAGCGATGTGCTTCGCTTCAGTGACACGAAGTTCATTAACAATTTTCCCCTACTTCAGCGCAGAATAGTGACGTTTGTGGCTTGCTGATAACGTGTAGGTGGATGAATGCGCTTTGTCCGTTCAGACTGAAGTCGCATGTCAAAAGATCGGATATGTGTCGGTTTTAGGACCACATATCCAAGTGGCCTAGGTCACATTTGAAAAAATCTGATCTGTGTTGTTCAGACTGTCATTAAAAGATCAGATACAGGTCACATAGGGGTCAAAAAATCGGATTTGGGTCACTTCAGGCTGCAGTGTGAACGCAGCCTAAGTCCAGCCCTAGGCCACGATAACACTCTGAAACATGATAGATTGCTACATAGGCCGGGACCCAGGTACACCCCTCAGGATGCTTTTTGCTCCTTTTTTCCACTATTATTTCCTGTTATCTTATATCTTGGACCATCACGAGTTGATAGGGACCAACCCCAACTCTGCCCCATTTGGTCTCAGGGCCCAAAAAACACAGTTTTTAAGAAAAGCTATTTGCGAAATTATGTAACTGTAAATATTAAGGTATATTATAACTGCATACATGGTCAAAAAACCCTAAAATTTTACATGGTGTATCCTGACACATAGGGGAAACTAGCAGAAAAATATTCTAGGGCTTGCTGCCTTTTTTCTGTCAAATATCATCCTCAGCATACACCAAAAGACAAAAAAAGTCTGTCTGCCTGACAAATTGTCAGCAAAAGTAATCAAGCATTTTATTGCATATATCACTGCCTCAAATGATAACAACAATAATAATACTGAACAATAACCAGCTCAACAATAATACTGAAACTACTTTTATGCCACTGACACAATAACAATAAAACAGGACTATGTTTTAACTCTTTCCTCCATGAAGATGACATTTGAAGACCCTCTTGTTTCCTTAATGTTGTGTTTTGACACCTCCCCTATATCACTAAAGACGTGATTTGACGACCATTAGAAACGGTTCCGGTTTTTTACATGTAAACAGCGGCTGCGATAGGTGGAGGCCACTACAACCCATACTAGGCTGACCAACAGGATTCAATGATATGTTTTCGCCGATTGTTTCCGAAGGTCATCAAACTAGTGACTATTGTAGCTTTGATTGTGTTTTCGATTTTGCACCTGACCAGATAAACTCTCATTTTCAGTGAGCTGTTATAAACCTGTAAATGAGTTGAGTCACATTTAACCATCCATAAATGAATAGTTCAGAGCCTAAGGTTTCCAGAGATACCAAATATGTCTGTGTTTCAATAAAGTTCAAAGTGTGAAAATCATTTATAATCACTCGTGGAAGTCTGTTTTCTTTTATGCAGTTATGCTCTATGGGTAGCCCTGGTAATATATGTATGGGTTGTTCCTAGTAGACATCCAACGGGGAAAGAGTTAAAGACTGTGTCATTAAAAGACAGGAGCTGCAACAAATAAATAACAGAATGAAAATATAATTCGCCCTCAAAGTTATTTATTCAACCTTCTGTCAGCCAACTCAAATTTTACCATATTACAACTCAAAAACAAAAATCTTCTTATTACTGCTAAGAAAATATACACATGATAAATACTGAGCCCTTGTACGGAACAATAAGTCACTATAGTAATAATTGTGACAAGCCTATTCGCACAGTTAACTCAGAGTGGGATGAATCCTAGTGCGACCACTATTGAAAACTTTTCTACATCCCCATGAAGACAAGCAAGTCTTGTACCCTCCAGTAGAAAAGTTACATAGTGCACCTTTAATACTAGAGCCTGAAAGACCAACAGAGGGCGGCAGAGGACATTTCTACTCCAACATATGCGATTAAAACAGAGAAACTATCCAAAACCAAGTATATTACAAAGTATGCATGCTCATGTCTCATCTTACATAATAAACTGCTCAGACCAGTGGCTTGAAACCTGACCTGAAACAGCGCCCTCTTTGTTCCCTTGATGTAATGTCCTAATTGCAGAATAAACAGACTTCAGATGCCATCTGTATAAATAGCTGAAGGCCACTGATCTCATTGGGAGACACTGTGGTTATTCTGGTGTCTACACAAACAGTGCAGGTTGTGTTTGGGATTTAGAGAGATGCTGGAGCTCAGGAGCTTAAACAGGAGCCAAAGACAGAGCCAGAGTCTGAGCTGGGCAGGTGCCACAGGAGGAGGCTCTGCCAAAGGGAGGTTTAAGATCTGAGGACTAGCAGACACCAGAGCAGGCTGCACAGGGAGAGGGAGGGATGACTTTTGGATTTACTGCCAGTGATTTGTCTAATGTTTATTTGATGCAATACTATACAACATTCTAGAGGGTCTACTGTTTCATACTGCGATGGAAGGTAGCTCAGAATTCAATGGAAAAATCAAACAAATTATTCTTGGTTGAATAAAGACATGCTCTGTGCAGAGATTAGTCGACCAAAGGTAGATGTATATGAAGCTGGGAAAAACTCTTCAAATTACAAATATCCACAAGGAAATGAATTGCTCATGTACTAGTATATATCATAGTGGGACTAGAATGACTGCAAGTGCACATATTTTTAAAAGTAAACTTTAAAAGCTTACATTTTAAGAGTGCCTTAAGGCTACCATCTGTGCTATTATTTGATTTTGCTTTACCAGGTGATGGTACATGTGAAGCATGTTCCCTCCTCCCTTCACCTGTGCTCTGGTCTTCCACAGAGACAATCTAATCACAGACAGTAGATTTAGAGCTTTGAATTATATTTTTAAACAAATGTTTCTTTCCTATCGTCTCAAAGCTTCTTCAATACCGCAAAGCAATTATGTGTACTTTTAATTCAGTATACAACAACATATAAAATGTATATTGTATTATAATGAATGTCCCTGCCCATTACCCAGTCAGTTTCATTCACAAAGAGTTTAAAGCATCAAATATAAAAACACATCATGCAAACGCCTCAAAGTGCAACATCAGTGCGAAGTTCAACTATGTGTCAGATCAACAGCATCTTTACTCCATCACAAACAACAGCAAACAGAAATCAACTCCACTGAACTCCTAATCTACAAAATGTAGATCGATTATTATCTATTCTCATGAGAGAATTTTCACTGCAGAACTATAGCTCCTATGCTCTCCTAGCTCTCCTATAGAGCAGAGCTTATAGAGTGTCTTACACTGTCTCCTATAGAGCGGAGTTTATAAAATGGTTGGATGTAGAACCAGGAGCCCTCGTTTCCGGCCGTGTCCAGCATCACTCTCATAGCGTTCTTCTCCAGCAGAGCGGGCAGGCGCTTGTTCACTGTCAGGTATTTGTTACTCTTCAGGTGGAGCATCTGAGGAAACATGGAAATATAACAAACATAAAAACATGTCAGGATACAATGATTGGTTTAATATTAAAAAAAATAAAAATAAAAATCGGATCTGCCCTTATTGGATACTCAAAAGAGTTTTAAATTGAATTATTTATTCACTCTAAAGTGCATGGTGGTACATCTGTTCTGTAGCCACAACTGCCCTGGGGTAGACTGACTTAAATGAACCTGTCAATCTGCACCTCTGACCACCTTTGGTTTATATAATCAGGCACAGGCCCTTCACATTTCTTCTAACTTTGTAGCGTGCATTACTGTTGTAAACACAAACCTGGATGACGTTGCCGTATTGAATTACTGTCCCCAGGAGTTTTTTGTTTTCCGAGTCATTTTGCTTCTTTTCCAGATCGGCTGCGTGCTACAGGGAGAGAGAGGAGACAAACATACCACAGGTCAAAGCACCTCTGTAAATCTACAAACACACTCCACTCAGGGCAGATTACACAGATGAAAGAGGCTTTAATATGAGCGTTTGACTTTTATAGCCAGTTTAAAGTTACACATAATTTAACACAACCAAAACTCAGACATGTATCGCTATGGAAACAGGGAGATTGCAATCCACAGTTTTTACGACTGTGTGGCCAGATAAGAACACACTTTAAATGGGAAAGTAGAAAACAGAAAAGTACTACAACCCAATATGGGCTGATATGGATTTATTCAAATGATATGATACCAGATAGTTGTTTCGCTGTTATTAAGTTTTACTATCACTACTACAATTTACAACTACAACTACTACCACTAGTGGTTCTGTACCACAAATAATAACAAAATTAAATTCTCCAGGGTACTAATTCTTAACACATAACAGATCACCATGTTACTTTTTACTGTTCTGAAAATGCTTTGTTGGCCAAAAACAACTTACTAGCAAATGTATGTTTTTGACGTTCTGAGCCCACACTCTTTTTGTTCTCCTCGCTAAGACACTCCCCCTTCAGAGCGCTATCACAACACAATCAGCTTGTATCCCGCTAATGAAACTACTGCACATTGCATCAGGTTTGTGAAGTTGCAGTTTATTATTTGTATCATACTTTTATACAGTATGTTTATGGAAAATTGTTATACGGGAGCATGGTTGACATAAACCTGCAGGCTAAGGACAGAATCTTTCAGTACATCATAACAAGGGTTCGAATAGGGCCTGGGAGAGATCACAAGATTACTCAGACATGCATAGATGAATATAAACCTCTTCAGGCATGTTTTTGATGAGGGCACAGTGTTATAACATTGTAGAAAGCATAATACCTTCTTTTTAAGGTTGAGGTACACTTTATTGTCCTGTCTTCTGCATTTGACCCATCCTTGAGTACAACCAGGGAGGTAGTCTTGGTCAGGACTACCTCATCTGGAGGATTTGACCTATGGTGGATGTATAGATGCATCACGAATTTCATACTTCCGGTCATCGCGCAATGCATACTGGGAAGGATTTTCCGAAAAAGGAGCATCAAACTGCCATGTTTGTTTTCCCAGTTGACAAAGACAGTCTTTTTTAGTCTTTTGAACCATGGTCACACGCATGGTAAATGGTCACATTTTTCTATAGCGCTTTTCCACCTTCAAGGCACTCAAAGCGCTTTACAACAAGGAACCACTCCATTCACACACACATTCACACACCAGTGTACGCAGACACTGTGGGCAAGGTGGGTTAAGTGTCTTGCCCAAGGACACAACGACAGCATTCATCTGTGGGAGCTGGAATCACACCAGCCAACCTGTGGGTCAGTGGATCTGACCACTCAACCTGTGATGTTTATGTTGAGAGCTGGACTCAAACCGCCAACCTTTAGATCAGTGGGCGAATGCTCTACCAACTGAGCTACTGCCGCCCGTATCACCATATCACTTTTGTTTCTGGTTCTGATGTTGTCATATTTTAGTTTTCGGATTCGGACATCGTAATTGTGTGGTTGTTGGATCCTAACAGCGGAAAAACAGCTCGAGAAATTTGCTTTGGAAAGTTTGTGAACTCCATAAATGCAAAAGAGAATCAGATGTGTGTGACTGCAAACCTCTGTTCAAACTGTTTCTCTTCCCAACGGAATTGAAAAATAGTGAAAGGTGAAGGCGATGGACAGGACTGATCCACAGGAAGGACCAAAAAGGAAACCTTTGACTGCCTAAATCATCCCGAGTATGTGGAGCGCTCAACCTTGGTTACGAATTTAAAGAGTCAACACCAAAGTGAAAGGCGGCAGCTGTTTGCCATGAAACACCTTCCACTACAAAGAGACCAAGACGTGATGTTGCTGTAAAGCCACAAGAACAAGAAGGTGCGAGCTCGGCCTCTTTGTCTTCTGCACCTCTCGCTTAAAAAAACAGGATCCCGCTTTGATGTCTCTCCATGTACAAAATGTTCGCTGCAAACTCGAGATGATTTCTTAGGCAGCCAAAGGTTTCCTTTTTCGTCCTTCCTGTGTATCAATACTTCCCAGTGTCTTCACCTTTCACTATTTTTCAATTCCGTTGGGAAGAGAAACAGTTTGAACAGAGGTTTCACATAGATGCACACAGATCAGATTCTCTTTTGCATTTATGGAGTTTGCAAACTTCTGAAGCCCATTTCTCGAGCCATTTTCCGTTGTTAGGATCCAACAACCACACAGTCATGATGTTCGAATCCCAAAGCTAAAATATGACAATATCAGAACCAGAAACAAAAGTGATATGGTTCAAAAGACTAGAAAAGACTGGATTTGTCAATAGACACATCCCACTGGGAAAACAAACATGGCGGTTTGATGCTCACTTTTTCTGAAAATCCTTCCCAGTATGCACTGCGCGATGACTGGAAGTCCGAAATTCGTGATGCATGTATTGAACAAGCAAACTCCGCACAGAAAGGTATATATAGAACTACTAGTCCTACTTCTGTTTGTATTTTGTATTTCTATTTGTGTTGCCATAGAAATCCCATTGTTAAATTCTACCACATTGATGAAATGTTGTGCCTCAGATTTGCATATTAAATGCCAGGACATGAGCAGAGTGCTGTGAGTGGACAGAGGTGTGGGAGGACAGATCTGAGTGTGGAGGAGAGGAGGATGTGAGGCCTGGCCAATATGAAAACAATACTATGACAAATGTAGAGTGACCAGAATTTCAACATCAAAAACTGGGACACTCTCGGTTTGTGACGATTGGTAATAATAAAACTGTGAAACGAGTGTGTAATTAAGAAGATTGCTCTACACTTGGCCCATTCAGGACTAACATGTGAGTCAGAAGAGTGACATTTTCTTAGTATTTTGGTCATTTTTAAGCAGCTTTTCTGTATTTTGCTTCAACAAATGTCAATTTATTCTTCTCTTTACTGTTGACAATGATGAAATTGGTCAAAAATAGGGACATCTGGGACATTTCTTATATAAAACTGGGGCAAATCAATGGTTTTGTATAAATCTGCTGGGACAGGGGACACAGAGCTCAAAACTGGGACTGTCTTGGGTCAATAGGGACGTCTGGTCACCTTAGGCAAATGGTAAATGGTCACAGTTTTATACAGCGCTTTTCCAACTTCAAGCACTCAAAGTACTTTACATCAAACCCCTCACTCATTCACACACATTCATACACCAGAGTAAACACACACTGGGAGCGATGTGGATTAAGTGTCTTCAGCATTCATCTATGATCAAATGGACGCTCTAACAACTGAGCTACTGTCACCATTATCATTTATAGACAGCTTAGATTATACTTATGTACACATTACATGACCTTAAACCATAATACGCCAAAGCCAAATTACAGGTCAGATCCCTGGAGAGGCGACCCCACTCACATTAAAAATGCATCAAGTTATTTTGGAATCATACAAACCCCACGGCTTGACTCACATGTAGCTTGTTGAGGAGGACAGTGTCTGTGTTCCCTCCGGGTTTCGCTGCTTTCCAGAACTGTTTTTGGGCAGAGTAGCGGTTCATGGGGCACAGTCTGAACAGGCAGTCTACAAAACACAGAGACGCATGTTTATTAAACAGAAAATGTTATACAGTGAATGCAATAGACAGACAAAAAATGCAGAGGCTTCATCATCTGTTAGGGCTGTGCAGTTAATTGTTTTTTACCAATTTGATCCCTGCCAACGGTAAAGAGAGGCATACATTGTGATTTGTTTAGGTAAAATACAAAAAGCTGTTTAAAAATGACCAAAACACAAAGAAAATGTGACTATAGTGATTCACATTAGTGCCACATGCAGAACAATTTTGCTTAATTATGCACTCATTTTACAGTTTTATTACCATCCCAAACCAGGGATGCCCCAGTTTTTTTATTTTGAAATTCTGGTCACTCTACAGTAGATGTTTCTGTACACAGAATAAGCATTAATGAGTGTTTGAAACTTTAATTTTTAAATTAAAATATCACCCAGCATGCCAGCTACAGCCAGTACAGCTCTGAGTCCTGCCACCTGCAGACGTTCTGTGATGACTCTGCAGTGGTTGGTGCATCAGAGATGGATAGGAGCTGGAGGACAGGACACTGATTGCAAACTTTGTGGAATGGTCCCAGGCAAACCATCTGCTCCTGAACGTTGACAAGACCAAGGAAGTGGTGATGATTTCAGTAGGAAGAGGACACTAGTGGAGTTCATCACAATCCAGGGCTATGACGTGGAAATAGTGACTGCTACAAGAACTTTGGTGTCCAGGTGAATAACAGACTGGAGGACAACAGTAATGCTGTGTACAAGAAAAGCATGAGGAAACTCGACTTTCTAAAAAAGCTTAGGTCTTTTCATTGTGTGCAGTAATTTACTGGAGATGTTCTCCCAGTCTGTGGAGGCAGTGTCCTGTACTTGGCTGTATTCTGCAGGAGGAGCAGCTCCAGTAAAAGGGACACTGAGTGGATTGACAAACTGATCCGTAAATCTGCTCACGTGATCCACTGTGAACTGGAGACATTTGTCACACTGAGGTACACGAGGACACTGGACAAACTGCTCTCCATCATGGACACTCCTGCTCACCCACTGCACCAGACTATTGAGTGACGGATAATACTCCCTACAACTGTACAACAACTCACCCACTGCACCAGACTATAGAGGGACAGATAATACTCCCTACAACTGTACAACAACTCACCCACTGCACCAGACTATACACGGACAGATAATACTCCCTACAACTGTACAACAACGACTGCACCAAACTATAAAGGGACAGATAATACTCCCTACAACTGTACAACAACTCACCCACTGCACCAGACTATACACGGACAGATAATACTCCCTACAACTGTACAACAACGACTGCACCAAACTATAAAGGGACAGATAATACTCCCTACAACTGTACAACAACTCACCCACTGCACCAGACTATACACGGACAGATAATACTCCCTACAACTGTACAACAACTCACCCACTGCACCAGACTATACACGGACAGATAATACTCCCTACAACTGTACAACAACTCACCCACTGCACCAGACTATACACGGACAGATAACGGACAGATAATACTCCCTACAACTGTACAACTCACCCACTGCACCAGACTATAGAGGGACAGAGGAGCTCATTCTCTGTTAACAGTGTGGTTGCGAGGCATGGATATGCACAGAGCCTATTACATTTGAATCATCATTATAGTTATTGATCTAATCCGTTACAAAACATGTTTAATGGAAACTGGACTATTCATTCAATCACAAAACATTGGAATAAATGTCTATACTCAGCAGATAAACTCACGGCAAAACATTCAAAACTGTCTCAAATAAACATGGTTTGAATTGAGATTTGGATTTTGAGCAGCCTTTAAGTTTCCAACAATTATCAATTAACTATTACGGAATAATCACCAGCTTTTGCACATTATAATACATGATTTAAACAAGTTCATTGCAAACAAATTAAAAGTGACGTTTGAGTCATTTACAAAGTGAAAAGCGCAACAGCTTCAAATGACTTCAGCAAGAAAAATGTCCCATCTCATTTGGTTCATTTTGGAGTTAATACAATGATGTTCTCAAATGAATTTGTGTTCATTAGGGAAGCACCAATCCAGTGTTTTCAGTTCCGATACCAATCCCCAAACTATAGCTTTAAGTATCGGCTGATACCAGCGAGAAACTGAAAACAACATTTACTTCCTTCAAACTGAAATAAGACAAAACTGATCAAGACAAATGTGTTGTAGGTATTATTTATCCTCATGCACCAGATTTTTCAGACTATAAATGGCACTTTTTTTCATGGTTTGGGTGTTTCCAGCGACTTATACTCTGGTGCCACTTATATATAAAATTTTTCAGACTGACAGCTGCGAGAGGCTCTAGGCTTGTGTGTCAGTATCTAGTACTACTATTACTACTGTACCATTGTCACTTCACTCTACTGCACATGTCTCCTGTAGAAATAGCTGCTGTCTCGCTACAAATAGTGCAATATTCAGCCAATAACAGTAATCAAGCAGCAGAAAGAAAGTTTGGAATGAGCGAGAAACTTGTGATTGACTGGAGGAGAGCGGGGATGGAGAACACAGCTTCACAGCAACTGGGCGGGTGCACCATGTAACTTTCCTGGAAGTCATTGGATGAATCAACAAAGCCTGAACTTCAATGACAAAACCATCCTGTCGGGATTCAGAAAGGCTGGAATAATTCTAACTGGAACTGATGCTGATTCTGACGACAGCGACACAGAAGAGGAAGTGGTGCTCTCTTTACATCATGGATCTATGGTTTATCTCCTGAGGCAGGCATGTCCAAACTACGGCCCGTGGGCAAAATGCGGCCCTCAGACAATTTTCTTGGCCCTCAGGCTTCCAGTGCTTTGGCCCAAATGACCTGCATCAATTAAAAATGAACTTTTTACTGAAGTTTTTGGAAAATCTACTTGATAACACTAATATTGAAGATTTAATGTGTGGTTTTGAGGATTTTAGAGTGAATAAAGGACTGATGGCTCATTCTAAAGTGTTAAACATGCACATTTTCAATTATTCACTGACTGAGTTCCAGTCTACAGCCCTCGATCGTCTGCTTGATCTGTGTTTAGAAATGTGGCGATGAAAAAAGTTTGGACACCCCTGTTGAGGTCTTGCAGAAGTGATCCCGAGGATGAAAAATTCAACCGATTTAGTGATTTGGAGTGAGATCGTGAGTTTGGTAAACTTATGTTCTGTTGTTTATGCTCTAATTATCTGAATAACTGTTCATATGTTACGTTAACATATATGTATGTTTTTTTCTTCATCGTTGCGCATTTTTTGGCTGGTGCTACTTGTACTCTGACTTGTACAACATTGACCAAAATAATTGTGATTATGATTTTTCCATAATCAAGCAGCCCCACTTTATTGCTTTATCTGGAATGTTTCACAGTCTGGCATTAAACCTTTCTATCTTAGAGACCAAACCAGACCAGGTTACAGGTCAGATCTGTGGAGAGGCAACCCCGCTCACAGTCAGAATACCTGTTTTGTAGGCATTTTTGAGCTAACCACCTGTAATAGGCAAAACATTAACATCACCATGGAGACAAGCAGATGACGGACCCTTCTTGTTACCTCCTCAGAAACAGACCTGGAGTTGCATTTTGTTTCATTCACACGTTTGTGTAACTCTTTATTGTTACCGTATTTTCCGGGCTATAGGGAGCGCTCTTAAACCTCCAACCCCATCAAAAAACAACTGTTCGCCCCACAATCCAGAGCGTCCTACACACGAATCCACTCCCAGCATGACTTCAGTAAACTACAAAGCCGCACCACCCGCAGCGCACGCAAACACACACGGAGCAGACAGCGACCGCACAGCGAAAAACACCTGCAGCCACACTCATCACTCCACGTCATTTAATGACAGTGAGCCTTATAATCCAGAGCGCCCTATAGTGTGGAAAATACGGTAGTCTGTCTACATCTTCAGAGCTTAAAATGCTCTGTTCCACCTTGTGATGTCATGAAAGAGTACATTTCTATTTAACAAATAATTATGGTGAAGGTGTGTGAAGTTTAAAAACACAAAATCATGGTCTTCGTAGTTCCGCCTGTTAGTTGTTGTTGTAATAAAAAATGCAATAAAATGTGATGTGACAGTCCATGACATTATTGTGAGATTTTCATCCGTATGACATCGCCGTATTAGTATTTCTGTTGTTGCTGCGTCCTTGCTGAACCCGGGCTCTGCTCCTGTGTCTGCGGACTTCAAACACCGCTCTGCTCTGCTCCATCAAAGCGCCAGCTTCAAGGGAGACCAGGGCAGTCCATTTTAGCACCACATCTGGACTTTCTGTAGTGCTAATAGCTTCTGAAGGCACGTTTAATTAACCCAATCACATTACAATCATTGAGAGGTGGAAGAGTGGTGGACAGTATATCTTAAAAGGACTCTGTTCCTGATGTAAGGTTGAATGATTTGGGAAAAATATCCAATTGCGATTTTTCGGACGAGAATTTCAGCTGCTATAGTTTTGTGATACATGTTGAAAAGTCCTACATTACGCCAAACTGACTCTTGTGAGCTTTAGGCATTTTATAATGTTGTGACCTCCTTAAAAACAGATCTGGAGTTGTGTTTTGTTTCATGCAATAGAATTCGGAATATATGTTTAAAAAGTAGGATTGTGCTCAGGATGCACATTATAAACAGCTCCAGACTCTTCCGCATTAAAGAGAATGTCTGTAGAGGCATTTTTTGTATTAAATATACAGGATATTTTGGTCTTTAACACTATATACTGAAGACTTTATCAAGTAATCATTAGAGATGCACTGATCCAGCTTTTTCTGATTCTGATACTATCTGCTGATACTTGATATCAGCCAATACCAGTGCAGAGGCTAAAAACATTATTTATTTCATTTAAACTCAAATAAAAGAAGACAAAACTGATCCAAATGTGTTACTGCCATTTATCTTCCACATAACAACAAAATCAAAATCCAAACATTTGGAGAACTGATATTTGGAAGCTGATATCCG